TGTAGAATGTTGATGAATGCTCTATATCTAATTAGTGGAACAGCCTGTAGATAATGCTAGATCTAATTAGTGAAACACCCTGTAGATTAATACTAGATCTAATTAGTAAAACATCCTGTAGATTAATGTTTGATTTGATTAGTGAAACATCCTGTAGAGGAATGCTAGATCTAGTTAATGGAACACCCTGTAATGAATGTTTGATCTAATTAGTGAAACAACCTGTAGATGAATGCTAGATCTAGTTAATGAAACAACCTTTATATGGACACTAGACCGAATTAGTGAAACAACTTGTGGATGAATGCAAAATCTAGTGGAACGCACCGTAGATTAATGCTAGATCTACGTAATGGAACAACCTCTAGATGAATTTTAAACCTAATTAGTGAAACAACCTGTAGATGAATGCTAGATTTAATTAGTGGAACACCATGTAGATTAATGCTAGATCTAATTAGTGGAACACCCTGCATATGAATGCTAGATTAAGTTAATGAAACAGCCTGTAGATGAGTGCTAGATCTAATTATTGGAACACCCTTTAGATGAATGCTAGATTTAATTAGTGGAACACCCTGTCTACAAATGCTAGATCTAGTAAGTGGAACACCCTGAAAATGAGTGCTAGATCTATTTAATGGAACACCCTGTAGATGAATGCCAGATCTAGTTAGTGGAAGACCCTGTAGATGAATTTTAGATCTTATCAGTGGAAAAACCTGTAAATGAATGCTAGATCTTATAAGTGAAGTAACGTAGATGAATATCAGATTTTATTGTGAAACACCCTGTAGATGAATGCTAGATCTAATTAGTGGAACACCATGTAGATGAATGCTAGATCTAATTTGTGGAACACCCTGTAGATGAATGCTAGATCTAATTAGTGGAACACCCTGTAGATGAATGCTAGATCTAATTGGTGGAACACCCTGTAGATGAATGCTAGATCTAATTAGTGGAACAACCTGTAGATGAATGCTAGATCTAATTAGTGGAACACCCTGTCGATGAATGCTAGATCTAATTAGTGGAACCCCCTGTAGATGAATGCTAGATCTAATTAGTGGAACACCCTGTCGATGAATGCTAGAACTACTTAGTGGAACAACCTGCCGATGAATGTTAGATCTAATTAGTGGAACACCCTGTAGAGGAATGTTAGACCTAGCTAATGGAACACCCTGTAGATGAATGCTAGATCTATCTGATGGAACACCCTGTAGATGAATGTTAGATCTAGTTAGTGAAACAACCTGTAGATTAATTAGTGAAATACCTGGTTTAGATAGATGTTAGATCTAATTAGTATATCACGATGACATGGTGGTGTGGTTCCTTGTATCATAAACACTGATTCTTTGCACATTTCTCATTTCCTAAATCCCTTTTTCACATGTCATGGTTAGTAGAATTAAACAGATCAAGGAATGCATAATACTTCAAAATCCAGAGATTTAGCTAAATCCAATTACAAGAAGCAAGCGAGAATAAAAACTGTGAAATTGGAAAACGACTGTTAGATTTAATTTATGATTTTATATAGTCATGAAACACAGTAGTTGTGCAATTTGCACAGACCCAACTTTTTGCTCCATCAAATATATATGAAATGCTAAAATGTAGTCTTTCTATTCTACAATATTTTGGGTATTTCTGTAGATAAATGAGACAGATCAGAACAAAAAAAAAATACAATTTAGTGATAAAAACATATTTAAAAGACAATTACAGACATAAAGGTAGGGATTGCCATTGTTTTGAATTTTTTTTAAACGATCGTTTCCGTTTTTAGTGTCCATTTTGGGAATCGTTTCTCTTTCAAAACGATGGTTTTGAAATTTTTAAGATGGTATTTTTTTAACGATCGTCTTAACATTTCCAGAACGATAACCGAAAAATGAATCGTTTTTCGTATTAAAACGAAAATCTGAAGAAAAAACTGCATAATAGTGTATCATGTGAACATTGATAATACATATATACTTGTTTTCCATTTTGAAACGGAAAACGATTGTTTCTTTAAAAGACAACCTTTAAAAACGACCGTTTTGAAATTTACCAGAACGACATTAATTAAAAGCGATCGTTTTGAAATTTCTGAAAAATTTCAACAGATTTTTGAAAAAAGTGCCCATCCCTACATATACACCCCTGCCTTTCCCTGCATATACACCCCTGCCTATCCCTACATATTATCCCCTGCCTATCCCTACATATACATCCCTACAAACAGATTTTGTAAACCAGCATTTCAGATTTAGAGAAACAAATCTGAAAATTAAACTGAATGTAGGAAAAACGATAACATTTCTACGAGAACAAATTTTCAAAAGAAAGATTAAAGAACTGCATAAATAAATGTTTTTAAAAAGGGATTTAGCAAAACAAAGATAAACAACGGGACAAAAATAAATTGCTCAAGGGACCATGAGCGTAAATTCGAGTGACCCTCAGTTTACCCTGAAAAGTTTTGTCTGTTCAATTGTATGAATTATGTTTTTGTTTATTCAATTCATTTAATTCGTTGGTTTTCTGCAAAATCTACTTGCCCTATTCTTGCTTATAGGATACAATGGAGAGGTTCAAAGAAATAACCATTTTGGTATTTTGGAAACGACGGTATCTTCCACATTTTTTCTCAGATTTAGGTTTCAAAAGTACCGTTGTAGATGGGGTATCGCTATCTTTGCATGGAGGGTCACTTTGCATAGAGAATTAATTGCTTTCAGTCCCTTATTATCAAACATTAATCAAATATTGATATAATATAGACAAAGAAAAGAAGAGATAAATTTAGCATTTTTTTAGGAATAAATAGAATGGTCCAGGAGAGTTCCTAATAAAGCTTAATTAGCTAGAAAAAACGCAGATGATAAAAAGTTGTCGAATTCAAAGAATAAAAAATCAAATTCTAGAATTATAAAATCCTTTTAAAATCAGATTTAGCTAAACAAAGATGAAAATGCAGATTAAAAAAGAAAATGAATAAAAAGAGAGAACATGTAAATAATAACAAATAAATAAATAACATAATCAGAATGTACATTTAAAACTTACAAATATGCGATATTATCTACATGCATCATATTATAATAAATACAGTTTAAATTCAGTAGGAAATGTATTAAAGCCAGGGGGAGGTAGACAGGTACAAGATTCTAATAGTACATTAGATGGCAACGTAGAATTTGTTCATTTTTTTATTTAATCTTGGAAAACATGTCAACTATAATTTGAGATAATTTCGTTTTCCATGTTATATATGACACTTGTGAGTCTAGGGATGTTAACGTTTTCATTTTTCAGAAAAACGGTTGTTTCGTTATGAAAACGACGACGAAAAATCGAAAACGAAACGATCGTTAACGACGACCCCTTCGTTAACGATCGTTAACGAAGAGAGGAAATCGACCTGAAGGGCATCTGTACTTATCATTGAGGACTTTCAAAGAAAATATCAAGGAGTTTTAACTCCCCCACAACTGTTTAACTTCATGCAAGACGACATTCAATAAAGTTGCATACATGTAATTTTTTTCTCCAAAAACGACCGTTTTGATAAAAATCGTCGTTTCGTTAACGATCGTTAACAATCGTAGAAAAACGGTCTCAAATCGTTTTAATAAAAACGATAGTTTTCAAAAACGATCGTTATTCATTTTTTAAAAGTTCAAAACGAGTGGGTCGTTTTTAAAAACGATCGTTTTTTCCGAAAACGAAACGATCGTTTTTGAAAACGAAATAAAAAACGAACGTTTACAAAAACTATTAACAACCCTACTTGTGACGTCGTGTATAAATTGGTCCATTTCTCTGTTGCCGCCTATTGTACTTGATAATCTATTTGGACAGGAAGATTCAGTAAACCAAAAATGTTATCTTAATATTAGATGTTCAGAATTTCTATAGTCCAAATACAAAATAAATCATATTATAGTTTACAGTACAGTGTAGACCATTATAAGTAACTATTTCTTTGTGTAAGTGTTTAGATATGGTTTGATTTTAAACGCTGTACAAAAAGACAATTACACAGGGCAATTCAAACTAAATTCTCTCTTTAAACTATTTTAATTTAAGATTTTTTGCAAACTGGAAGCAACGTACTTTAAATTACAGATAAAAACCTCTGGATTTTTCTGTAAACGTGTAATCATTAAAATACAAAAAAAAGGATAACGTAACGTTCTTAACTATTGGGTACACCATTTTTAAAATCAACAATTTCAACACACAGTTAAAAATCATTGTAAAATCGATATACACAAAAATTAAATTCGATATGCATTTTTAAAACTTGTTATAACAAATTGAGTTTTTGCCAGAAACTCAAATTTTCTAATCTTTATATATTTTCAACCTTATGTTGTAAACCTTGGCTATTTCAAATATTTTATCTTACCGAATCTTATAGTTTGAAATATCAAAGGTCTTGTCAAGATATAGGGATTATAAAATAAGAGTTTGTGGCAAAAACTCAATTCCTTCATGTAAAGTCTTATGATTTCTGAATTGCACTTGGCCAACTGCCATTTCAGATTTGAATGAAAACTGTTAAGTAATTAAATCTAATTGTTTAAAGGGACAGTGCACTAGAATTATAACAATCTATATAATAAAACCAGCCAAATGGCTTAACAGAATGGGCTGACATTTTGTGTGGACACTCATGGGTAGCCTAGGGTGACATAGGCTTTAAAAAAACATTGTTCCACAGAAAATAAATATACACACAATGATTGTGAAACTTAAGTTTCAATTATACAAATTGTTAGTTACCAAATTGTTGGTTACCAAATTTTTAGTTACCAATGGTCGGGTTACCAAATTGTTAAGTTTCCAAACTGTTAGTTATCAAATTATTAGCTACCAAAAATAAGTGCAATTTTATGTGTTCTTTATTTTCTGTCTTTACACTTTTTATTTATTCTTGGAAAACATTTCAACTAATGTGAGAAAATTTCGTTTTCCTTGTTACAGTTGACACTTGTGACTTTGTTAGGGCTGGACACGTTCCGACAGCTAGATCGTTCTGTTCCTGTTCCTTTTTTTCCAATCGTTCCGTTCTCGTTCTGTTCCATTCCGTTCCGATCCGTTCTTAGTCTATGAATGGTCATCCTGTTCCATGCAGTCTTGGTGTTCTTAGTCAAAGGATGGTTTCATCCCCCTGTTCCGTTCTTAGTCAAGAACGTTTGCATCCCCCGTTATGTTCTTAATCAAGAAGATAAGAAGGGGGGCTGGGGGCCAGGGTGGGGTGGGGGTTACTTTAGAGTGTCTAAGACAAAAGTTATGTAGAAAGAGGTGTTAAAAAAGTAGAAAATGACGATTTTATGATCAAAAGTTCCTCACGGTCGAAAATATACTTTAAACTATATGTTTTAAATTTAGCGTTAAAAGGCTAAGCTTAGATAATTTCTGGTCGGTGCAATGTATATTTCTGGTCGGTGCAATGTATATTTTTTTGTGAAGCTGGGGGAGGGGGCGGGAGTCATATAATCCTTAAAATGAATGATGGTTGTTAGTGCTGAGATCCAGGTTTATCTTAAAAGAAGGGGGGTGTACAATTTAATGATTTTTGAAAAATAATTAATTTTCATAATAAATATTTCAATAATATTTAAAAGATAAAGAAATAAATTATAGAAAAAAAATTCTTTCAACCTACCGGAGAGGGGGAGGGGGACTATTTATTATCTTCATTTGTAGACCTTAATCTTTTCAGGGTTGGCAATATTTTTCATTAATTAAATCTGATATTTTAGAACTATTGAAATATCATAACTTTAAAGAGACTGTAGATGTAATTTAATTAATTTTTCTTAAATCTGACAATATTTTAAGATATTCAATACGAAATCCTATGCAAACATTTTTTGGCTAAAATCTAGAATTTAACAAAAGAGAATGAAGTGCCGCGCGCGCTCAAATGGTCTTTAAAAGATAAAAAATTTGTGTCTTGCTCCAATATATTTGGTGCGCTTTAGGTGAAGATGTTTAAATATGTTTAAGTTATATTAGAAATATTGATATTGGCATTTAATACATCAGGATTTGCAAATGTAAAAACAAAAGTTTTTTTAAATTACATTAAAGGTAGCTGGTAGATGGAAGATTGGGGGGGGGGGGGTTGAAAAAAAGAAGGGGAGGTGGTTAAATGACTATCTAATTAAATTCTGCACTGTGCGCCCGCCCAACCAGCTAAATGTCAAATATTTAAAATCATGCAGCGTTATTCGACATTTTCTTATTTCACAAAATTGCTCTTATTTGCAAAACATTTTTTACCGCTAAATTCACTCAGAAAATTAAAAACGACAGAGATGTTTAAAAAATTTTTAAATGTATTTTGACAAGAATAAAACTTTTTTCTCGTCATCTTATTTTTATCTTCTTTTTGTATTAAATTATTTTTGAAAGAAGGCTAATATTTAGCTTGAAAAACTGAGAAATCTTCATGGAAACATTTTATCTACAATACAAACACCGTTGACTTCAACTTTTATGAAATTGTTTGTCACTCTTATTCTTATTTTTTTAATTTTACACAACAGAAAATAAAGATAAAACAATAAAAATCTAAGTTGGATAATGGATTTGTTTTTATGTTTGTTAAACACAGTAAAATCTTGCTTTTATCTGGTGAAATTCGTTGAAGTAAAAGTTTTTATTTTTTATTTTATTTATCCCACATCATGCGTTTTGAAAGTGATGAGTTACATTTTATTTTAAACGTTTCTTTTCCATCTTTTTTTAGCATTATTTCACGTATTTTTAATATAATCCACAATTATGTCTGTTTTCTCCCAGATATGTTGCATAAACATGATATTAAACGGTGTAACTGTATATTTGGCAATACTCAATACACAATTACGGAAATTTAGTGATAATAAAAATGAATGCATGGCATCATGACAATTGTAAAATTGACTTGTTAAAATTTATTAAAATCCAAGAAATTTTTGTGAATTTTTAAAGAACAAACATAATTATTTCAACAATATCAATCTTTCATTTAAGAATGTCGCAATATATCACAAAAAAAAGAAGATATGTTATTCATTGATATATCAATGAAGTATCATATCAAGTTGAATACAAATATTATAGATTTGAAAGTGTTTATAAATATGTAGCCGGCCACATAACTGTCAATAAATATAAAATGGGGACATACTTAATAGTATTTATAGTTTATTAATTGAACCCATCCGGCTTATAGTGTACATAATTCGACAGAACCTTATGGTTTAATATGTCGTAAATCGTAATGCTAAATGCAGCGTTCCCCATGAAGGATGAGACTGTAAAGACGACCCAAAACTCAATTAAGTATTTTGATGGTTTAATAAATTGTTAAGCACAAAAGTAAGTGAGTTTTGGTCTACAAGGAACCCTGAATGTAAGAAAACGAAAAAAAACAAATTCCGGCCAGTCGTTCCGTGAGTAACCCTGTACTTACTGTACTAGACTGTACTGTAGGAGGCTTAAATCTCGCAAAAAGTGCACAAAATTAAATGTCCCACTGTACAGAATTGCTATAGAATGACACAGCGTTCTTCATAACGGAAGGAGTATTATTTTTTAATTTTATTTTCTGTTAGTTCATGATGCTCATGGTTCAGTGAAGTTTAAAGATCGTGAATTTGGTTTGATGACATCATGGTAGATACTAACTAAGGCAGAAACCTGGTGTCGCAAACCTCTGATATTTCAAACAAAGATTTACAGCGAAATGGAAAATTAATTCAACCCAAAATGTGCAATTTAGAGCATACATTTTTGTCTGCGCCTGCAGTGCCCATTTTTTGCGTTTTTACATATCTTGCGAAAAACAATATCGTTGCATTTCACGCAAATTTCCTAAATTCACAAATTTCATAATTTCCGCGCTAAATATTTTGAGCGCTATTCGGAACAAATTGTAAAAAGTTCGCAAAATTAAACAATACATTGTGCGCATGCAAGCAATACATAAAACTCCAAATTTTAACAGAAGAGTACAATACCCTAATTCTTATATAGTCGTTTTTCTAGTTTAAACAGTGTTTATTTCTGGCATGTTCCTCCAATGTTTCTTCAGCGTAATCGCATCATCGCATGTCACTTTTTTTTAGAGAAACCAACATATTTCATTTCTGTTTTTAAAAACATGGATAGTTCATTAATTTTTGCAAAGCTTTAGAGTGAAATATTGTGAAGGTCAATAACGTGTACAGTCCCTTTAGTGGAAACAAATAAAAATAAACTTTAGCACGGCTGTTGCTGACAACTTAATTAATCCTGCTTGAATTATCTTATTAAAAATGATAAAGAACTCTATAAAGATATTTTCCGATGCCATAAAAAACTTAATATAAAAATATTGAACATTCAGGAAGCCTGGACGGTTTACAGAGTGCAGTCGAGTTTGAATAATATAGTAAACAGGGGGAAATATATAAGAAAATATCATAATTTAAAAAAATGTCGAAAATGACTAAATTTGAAAGAAAAAAATATGCTGTCAATAGTCTTCTCAACAATTTAAGCGTTTAAATGTTACCTTTTTAACGACCATTTTTCGTAAATGTAAAACTGAAAATTTTGACATTTTGAAAAATTGTCCACTATTAAACGTTCATAATCCTTCCATGAAGGCTTTTTGAGGAGCCACAAAAATTGGGTCCCATCGTTTCAGCTGTTTTGACGTTTTTTACCTTTTTACCAATATGACTGAGGATGCAAAAGGGGTATAAAAGTAAGTGTAACTAGGCAATGATTATACTCTTATTAAGAAATGTACGGATCTAATATTGATAAGCTTGTTGTGAAAATCTAGGTTATCTCAAACATTGTTCCTAATTGGTATATATTTAGCATAGTATACCCTCTTACTTATAATAAAAAATCGTTTATCTGACCTCTGAATATAGATGGCTGCCAAATTTGGAAAAAATATTGCTCATTTAAAAAAAATCTTATCATTTATTGAATGTGAGCGATTTTTTGTTGAGTATGATCAATTTTTTATTTTGTATCTGACAGTGTCTGCGTTAAACAAAATTTTTTATCTTTAAATCCTGACTTCTGGAGGTGAAAAATTGTTTATAACATATGTTTCTCACTTTAAATTTCTTTATTTTTGTTTTAACTCTTCCTTATTTAGTTCATCCTCAAGTGTACCGACCTCTCCTTTTGTTTTAACTCTTCTTTATTTAGTTCATCCTCAAGTGTACCGACCTCTCCTTTTGTTTTAACTCTTCTTTATTTAGTTCATCCTCAAGTGTACCGACCTCTCCTTTTGACGGATCCCACAAGTATTTAACTGAAACTTTTGAACCATTTTTAACACAAGAGTGAGGTAAATTTTTCCATCTGAAAAGTCTTTTAATTTTCCTCGTTGACGATCTCCAGTCTCCACAGATCAGTTTATAACAAATTCACAAATGAAAATTATTCATTTAGCAAAAAAAAAACATCTCTCTTATTTTTGGTAGACTTCAGTTAAAATGATAAAATCGTGAAAAGCAAATCGTTCATGCAAATCTTTAAAATTAGTCTTCGTATTCGTCATCCTGCCAAAGGAAAGAATTACATAAATTTTCATTTTAACTATTTCCGTTCTCAAGTTTTAAATTTCTCTTCTTTATCAAAGTTTTAAAGATAAAACTGTCATAAGAATTAATTTCAACCTCTGCCAACCACTTTGATATGCATTTTGGATATTTGATATCCAAAATAAATTTAATAGCATTTACATGTTTTTAAAAATGATTTAGAAAATATGTCTACAAAGGATGATTTTAATTCTATATTGTATCAACATTATGATATTCGATCATGCGTGTTGAACTTTTGAAAAACGAAAACGAAAAACGAAAAACAATTGGGTTTGAAAATAGTTTTTTGACATTTAACTTTCATTTTTTTTACGGTATGAAAGTTTTTGGATTTCATCTGGCATGTGTTTTTATCGAGATAATTGTTCTGAATAATTCTAGCTGACCTAAGAGTTTTTTGAGCTAAGAGTTTTCAGACCCAAAAAAATGTATTTCGAATAAGCAATGTTGTCAATCTATTTAACTAAGTATTTCAAATCGACGAGTATAGTTTACCAAATGAGGTTTAAACTTAAAGCAAAATGGTGAAAAATACCTTCTCAAAGATGCCTACAAGTGGAACTACTGCAAATCGTTAACCCAGGCTTAATTTTTGAGTTAGTATAGTCATCTCGAATTCGAAATGCAGGTAGGATATTCCTAGAAATCTGATTTGATTTGAATTGTAATGATTGATAATTTCTGTCAATTACATGCTTCGTGTAAAAATAATCTATTCTACGAAAACAGATCGTTGGCAAAGGACCTCAACGAATGTACAACCATTATTATGAAGGGTCAACGTTAACGGTTGTTATCGATCGTCAAAAATTTAAAAAAGCCTTGCTTCGTTATCTAAGAAGGACTTATTTGTTTTTAAAAAACTATTACTTTTGAAAATTAATAAAAAACAATAATGTCTTTTCTCAAATTTGGCTTTCTTTTCTTATATTCACGGACAAAGACATAAGTCAGGGTTCTAGATGGTTGTTAGTAAGGACAATTATGGCAGCATTAACGTTTTAAAATAGAGCAGTGAATAATTTTTTTTTTAGTACGGCAGACACAAATTCGGAACATCCGGAGTAGGCTCCGGCCGCACCCCTATCTCAAGCACTAGATGTCGGATCACACCAAAGGAATTGAGTTTTTGACACAAACTCAAATTTTCTTATCCCTATATCTATAAAACCTAATTGTTTAAACCTTTGATATTTCAAAATTAGATTATTTGATCTAACAGTTTTAATAGTTTGAAATATCTAAGGTCTACGACATAGGGATGTAAAGATATAGGGATTGTGAAATCATAGTTTGTGGCAAAGACTCAATTCCTTTACACCAAAAGTAGGATTAATGGAGACGGTAAAGCACAAATCGGCCCTAAACCAGTAGGAAGTAACAGTATCAGCATCGGACGATTATCGCAAGGTGCTAATTGCCCAGTTTCAGGCAGAATCTCATTCCTATAGTTTTAATGTTTTTTAAATGTTGTCTTCTGTGTTTCTAAACAGTTAACGAAATTTGTTTCTCCGTTAACGCCATTAATACTGCAATAAAACGTTAACAGCTGTGCCTTTAACGATTTTTTAACCGTTAACGAATTTTTTGCCGACGCTAATACTGTAATATACCATTCTATGCCGTTAACGATTTTTTGAACCGTTGACAAAAATTTTCTCCGCTTTGCGCCATTAACGCCGCTAATTTTGTAATAACGGTACCACTAACGACTATAGCTAATCCTATACACATAATATTAGTGACAATATAAGATTTTGCCAATTTTCTCCCATTTTTTCCTTTTTTCTTTCATTTATCGTTTTTATCTTTTTAGTTAGACTGAAGTGTGCCACGGGCCTGCCGTAGAGCAGTGTTGTAGATAGATACGACCTATAGTTGAACTGATCTACCATGGACACATTAAAAGACATCACTTCTAAATACAATCTGCAGAAAATCTGGCAACTAATTAACTTGACCTATTTTACAAATACATAATTTTACTCTCATTCAGTTTCCCTGTTTAAGTAACTAAACTCAAAAATGTCAGAATTTTATCGGTATTTTTCTTTCGCGATTTTCACAGGCTGTTTTACTTTTGGGAGACAAATTATCACAAAATACACACCGACAGTATGTAAAAACTTTATTGTCAAACAGATTAAGGAAAAAGTAATTGAAGTAAATTACGGTTTTACATATTTTTTATTTATTTCAAATTCAATATATAATCTGAAAAAAAGATACTAAAAATGCCAGGAGTTGATATTAAAGTTTTTTTTGTATATATTTCTTGTATATTATGTAAGGTTTTGGTATGAACATATATAAGTATATAGGTATGAAATGATGTTTGTGAACGAATATATAAACTCAAAATTGAAAAAATATACACCAAAAAAATTGGGCCAAAAAGTATGATAATATGACCCTTAGAAAAAATGAAGTATATATCTTTTTACATTTTTAATTATGATTAAAGATACGAGAATGTTAATAAGGGCACAAAGGTGGAGAGGGCCGCGAGGCCAGGGAGAAAGTGAGCAGATATTAATAGTAACTATTTTAAACTATATATTTATGTAACTATTGGTATAATTCTTCGTTAAGGGGGGTAGGGGGGGGGGGCACAAAAATTTTATAACTTAAGTAAAAAGACAAAATAGAAGTTAGTCTTTGCCACAAACTCAAATTTTTAAATCTCTATATCTTTGCACCCAATGTTGTAGACCTTAGTTATTTCAAACTAAGAATTCTGTTAGATTATAAAATCTAAAATTGAAATATGAAAGTTTACACTTATAGGTTGTTGCAGGGATTAGAACATTTGAGTAAGAGCAAAAACTCAATTCCTTTGAAATTATAACATTCTGTTCTATACAAATTGTATGCAATCCTTTATGAGCAGTGCGAAGATCAAATACAATCTTAAATCTTTCTATGTGTATCTTTAAACATATGCAGGGAGCCCATACATTGCTGCAGAATTCCGGAATTTGTTTGGCACAAAGTTTGAGATCTAGCAAGATCCAGAAATATGTCTAAATAAGTAAACAGTTTAGAACTTTTCATAATTAAGTGAATAAGCAACATCATGTTTAGCTGCAAAGAAAATTTAAATAAAATGCAAAAAATCTTAAAATAAAAGAGGAAAAATAAATACTTTGATTAGTGATCACCATTTGAGTGAATTTTAACTCACAAAAAATGGAGGATTTCATTATCCTCGAATGCCGAGGATATCACACAAGATTTCGTTTCTGTTCTTCAGGGGACTTTTCTTGGGATTGTACAGGGCTTCTGAATCACCGCCATTTTGTAAAATGTGACCAGTTTGGAACTCAAAACCTTCAGATTCGTCATCAGACTTTACAGGGAGCTGAGCACGGTCCTCTGCGCGTACATTAGCAGGAAAAACCTCAGTCAAGGCTCGCTCAAGAATGGAAATTGTCCCCGCATTTTCCTCGTCGGGTGAACGATTTGCAGCATTTGTTGCACCTGGGGTTTCAGCAGGAGATTCTTTGAACAGCATTAATTCATTCTTTATCACTTCCTCAATGCTCATTTTTCTTTTCCCAATAGGTTGACCGGTCACAGGTGTAACAACAGTTTCAGTATCATCACAATTAGACGTGAAACCATTGTTAGTTTCATTGTTGATCAATCCATCAGTAAGACACAAATCAGTCAGTGACCCTGAAATAATTTTTTTCTTTGTATTAATTATAATTAAAAAATGTAAATGAATATGCGTAAATATGGGGCGCGGAGGCAAAAAAAATGTAGACCTTCCATATTTCAAACTCTGCTTATTCTATTCTATATAAATTGGCCAAAATCTATATAAATTAAAAGTTTGCAAAAGTGTAAGTTAATAGGTTTGAAGCGATCTGTCCCTTAGCAGTATTTATAAGGAATTTTATCTTTATGTCATGTCTATGAGAGTAAAATAAATGAATGAATTTGAAATACAACCTGCAGAAGAGATATATTGGAAATTATTTTCTCTAGTAGCTTGAATAGTCTGTACTGCACAATTGGGGACTCCTGAATTATTACATTTTGGATTAATTTCATACTATTTTAAATATATGAAAAGTGTAAAAGAATGTTTATATTTTGCTATTTATTTGCTATAATTCTTTTTGTAGGTTGATTAATAAAAAAAACATGCCAATTGATAATCATTATTCATTTTCAAGGCCAGCTCCTTTTCTAAGAAATCATGATTGAAATGATTCCAAATGGTTATTTCAAGTTTTAGTTTATATTAACGATAAGTTTGTAAGACAAATCCTTACCTAGTGAGTTTTGGGTGACATTGATGTTGTTTGATATATATTGGGTTATGTTTCCATTCAACTCAGTTTGGTTTTGCATGATTTGTTCTTGGTTGCATGTTTGTACTTGGTCGGAAAATGTCTTAAGTTGGTTGGTTAGAGAGGGAGAAAGGTTGGGGAGCAGTTGGGACTGATTTCGAAAGGTCACGGTTTGATTTGATAGTAGTTTGGTTTGGTTTGAGGTTTGAACTAAAATGTTTTTAGGCTGAAAAGCAAGGCTGGAGCTATTCAAACTCACAACCAACTGATCTTCGTAAATTTCTTCATCTAAACAACATTTTTTTTCTCCTTTATTTTTAAACTTTTTCAATGGGACTCAACAAAATTTAAAATTTTACTTTTTTTAAACAGTTTAAATACAAATTTACAACGGTGGACAAAAACCGTTTTTCACGTTTCAATGAAGTTTTCTCTTTGCACTTATCACAGTGTGACTAATGTTGACATCAAATCTGGATTTCTTGAGCTTTATTAAAAAATAAATTGCTAATTAAATCTCATAATTTTTCTGAAATTATTGATTTCACAGTTCAATTATTGTTAGATGAAAACAGTATAGAAATTACCTGGCTTTCCAGTATTAGGAACTACAAAGATCATCGGACTACAGCTGTTTGACAGCTCATTCTAGAAATATAGAATATTTAATTCAAATTTTAGTGTTTCAACTCTTATACATAGCAGATAATGGAAAAAGAGGTCACCACGTTCAGGAATAAAAAACAAAGAAAGCTATTAGTTAATAATTGAAGAAAGGTACCTGAGAGGGTGCGTCCATGATAATTTGACTACTCTGAACCATCTGGGCACTAGAGGTCATAATCCCCTCTGAGTTGAAGCTGGCGTGACTACCATGGGTCAGCTGGTTTCCTAGGCTCACCATGGGTGGTATGTTTGCTGATGTTGATCCAAGGGAGGAATCTGATGACTGATTACTGAGACGGAGCTGATCTTTGTCCACCTTATAAATGTTTCATTATTCTGTTGCCACCAGGGGTATAAATTTTCAAGAATTATACACCCCCCAGGTCAGGGGAGGGGGAAATAGTTCTTGAAGATCTGGAGGAATAAACTGAGATTTATTGGAATTCAATATGAATTTTTTTTCAATCCTTTTTGCTACATTTTACCAACATTTTCCCTTAAAAAAACATTTATTTTACCCAGTTCAACAAAAAAAAACCCAAACAATTTTTTTTGCATTCAGCGCCAACTTTCAGGATTTTTTTCTTTTTTTGAGAGAGACATGCTTTCAAAGAAAATAAACACCCCAGTGTTTTTATTATCTGTTGACAGCAGAGGTATACAATAAACATGTTCAAGAATGTTACCCCCCAGGGATGAGGTAATGGGTTTTTGATGCTCTGGGGAAATGATAAATTGAAAATCAAACGGCAAAATCTTTCAACCTTTTTGATATTTTTACCAAAAACTTATTTATTTCCCCTACAAATCCTTTTTTTCTTCCAATTTTGCGAATAAAACTGTAAATATGATGTAGGTTGAGATATTTACCTGATAAAATTTTCCGTTGTCACTAGCGTAGATATCTCCAGTTTGGTAGAGGACTGTACCTGTGCTAGTGTTCACCATTTGAATCTAAGAATATGAATAAGTGAATTTCATATTCATTTTTTAATTATTTCTGTAGAAGTATGGATGAACAGTAGATTAAGAATTAGTAAAAAAACCGCACAAAATAAATGTGGTAAATCTAACCTCCTCAAACATCTCCAAAATAAATGTGGTAAATCTAACCTCCTCAAACATCTCCGGTGTGTTTTTAATCGTCTCTTCTTTCTTTTTAGCCTTCTCTTCAGCAGTCACCTTCTTCTTCTTTCGGTACATGCGCTCTTTACCATCCTTAAATGCCGCGGTTTATTAAAACCAGAAAAATGCGCGTAAACAAATGTGCTAAGTTTATTCTAAGTTTATACCTGCGGCCAGTCTATAATGTTTCCCATGATATCTATAGTTTTGTTGTGCTTGGCTTTCAGATGCTTTCGAAAGTGACTCTGTGTGGAAACTGATGTCTGAGAAGATAATTTGCGTTAAAAAAGATGTGTTTTTACTAATTATTAATTTATTTATTAATTGATTTTACCTCGCAAATACTGCAACAGAATTGAACCACTTCACCATGTTTCTTAACATGTTCCTTGTAATGCGTCGGGTGCCGAAATTTCCTGAAATATATAAAAAATTACTAAACTATATTTTAATCCTACACCATTAATAGTTTTAGTCTTATACGGAGTTTAACCCATTTCAAAGACGACTGTACGTAATCCATAATTGTTTTAGCTTTTTTATTGTCAGATACCCACAGGCTTACAGCTAAAGTTTCCTGGTTTCTTTCAAAACAGTTAGTTTATTCTATCCATAAAAGACTATTTTCGAGTCTGAAAAACTTTGAATTATCAAACCTGAAAAGTCTCATCCTTTGTGGGTAACCCAGACATTTTACTTTACAGCTATCCTTATTTGTAAATTTCAATCCCAAGAGATATTGATTTACTAATGATTTATCCAAAAATTCATTTATTTATCTCAGTTTGGAGGGAAACACTTAAAAAAAACTTAAATTACCTAACAACTGAGTGAAAAGATATAATCATGGAGGATGAGTGAATTTTTAAGAAAATATATACCCCCACCAAACTCATTGAATAGCGAATAGTTTACCTGTTACAATGTGGGCAAGTGAACCTGGTTTTGTTTGCATGAGTCATCAGATGATAATTCAAACTGTGTTGTCTTGTGAAAGTAGCCTAAATATATTGTTACCTTGTATAATTGGACTTCTTGAAAAAATCATGATAATATATTAATAATAATGAGGAATAGCCAGTGGATTCATTCAACTACCCCAGTTTTACCAGAAATCAAGAAAGATCCAATTAGGGACTTTTAAGCAACCAAGAAATACAGGTGTATGCAATGAGCAATATCAAACCAAAAAGAGCAGCTGAACTAATAATTTTAAAATTAATAATAACAATTAAAATCAATTGCACCAAAATATATCAATGCACCAAAAAAATATGTGACCTGCCATCAAATAAAATCCCTTCACCTGGCATATTGAACATTCGAATGGTCTAAGACCAGCATGGCTTCTATAATGAGTTAGCAAGGTTGAGTAGGCGGTGAAAGGACGGGGAGGGCGACAAAGACGACAAACAAGATCCTCAGTAGTTGCACCGCGGCATCGAAGCTCTTCCATGGCCGCCAAGGCTGCCGTTTTATCTTCTGAGCTGACAGCTGCAACAGTTCGCTTGTTTTTTAACTTCCGGTTGTCATAGGTCGCCTTGTCTTCAACCTTGAATAGATAGTAAAATTTCAAGTAATTTTAATTTGAAAAGAGTGGCATGTCTATTAATTGTCTAATTAACAATGATTCTTTCAACCTGTATCTTAGTATCATTGAAGAATTTGCAGTTATTGTCCCTGTCGATCGCATAAACGTATGGGAGTAATAAAGAAGATATTACAGTCATACTAGATAAGACAAAGGTTTCCTGGGTACCATGTGAATTCGACATGCAGCTCTAATAATTACTTTAATACTTTAAAATAAGAAGTTAAAAAAAGAGTATCAAAAAGATTTTTTTTAGTTTAGATGCTTCTTATAGATACATTTGACAGAAAGATTCCATTAAAAAATGATAATTTATTACCTCTTCTGTATAATATAGGAATTCATTATTATCCGTCCATTCGATCACTTCATTCTCTCTTGATCCACCCTCCTCATCCATCTCCTCTCCTTCGACAATCACTTCTTGGCAATTCTGTAAAAAGATAATATTTATGAAAGACGTGCGTAAATTGCTGGCAAATATCCCTTTCCTTTAAATCGGTTGTGTCGCAAAAAGGTTTGCAATCTATGAAAAAAGCTCCGGTCATATAACACATTTTTATATTTATTTATATTTATATTTATATATTTATTTATATATTTAGATTTATATTTGTTTATTTGTATATATACTAGGCTTTTAGGACGCTTTGCGCCCATCTTTTATTTAAATTGTGAACATGTTCTCTTTGTGTACATTTAAAACAAAGAAAATTAAATTTCGCAGATTTTATAAATAAATCGTGGATTTTTAAAATTTTACAAAATAAAAAACTTTTAAACCCAAATTTTTTTAAATTTTGATCATTCATAAACCTTCCTTGGAGTCATGTGATGTCCTACACAAAATTTGGGCCCGATCGGTACAGCCGTTTTGACGTTTATTGGATACAAACAAACACCCTGACACGCCAATTTTATGTATAGATTTATGCAATAATTATTTAACGTTACACTTTAAACCGTTGTATTATATTTCCGGTTATTAATAGACAAATTATTTCATGGCTTGATGATCTTTGATGAGTCTAATTTCTATCCATATATATATTTCTTTTCGTAATAGCTGACCAAACGGGTGGAAAAAAGGCTAAAGAAAAATCCAAATTATCGAAAATCTATGGGCAACGCAGGGTCCTTTAGCAAAACTCATAATTCAATTTCAAGCGCAGGTAAACTGCGGGAGTTAATATGACACTAATGATATAAACCTGGGCACTCCCGCTAGTGTTTTCAATATTTATATTTACCTGGTCCTCTAAATCTGGAGTAGAAGTTGACACAAGCTCAACAGTTACTCCTAGATCTCCATCAACCAGTGCTCCATCAATAATAACCTCACAACCCTCAATAGCCTAATAATTATCAATTAACCCCATTATTTATGATCGTTAAAAAATAATAGAAAAAAATTTAAGACCAACTAGTAAAACTCAGATTTTGACCCCCTGGGATTGTAAAATAAATTTATAATTAACATCCTGCATAACCACTTTATACCCCGGGTAGGTTTCAGGCCTACATATTTTTACCAACCTGAATTGATGCTAAATCTTCCTGTTGAACTTCTATTCCCGTCGAGTAGTAAATAGTACTTGCATTTTCTGTATCTACGCTTTGACCTCCGTTTTGCGTATTTTCAGCCTCCGTCCCAGCCTCTTCATCCTCCACGGTGAATTCATCAATTCGCTCATATTTTACCCTTTAATCATATTCATGGATTACCGATTACTTAAAACTGGGAAATAAGAAGATCCCATTTAAATGTTAAGCCATCATATGTGTATTTGTTGTGATTGTTAAGTAAATATTTATATTATTGGCTTAACAAACAACTTTGTTTGATTTTCATTGGCCTAAATGAAAATGTAACAGTCTTCTTCCTAGTTTACAATTTTTATGGATCCCCTGTTTTTGCAAAACATCTAAAGGAACACACTTAAGTCTATCTAACTGTTCCAATATATCTTTAACGGGTGTGTGGCGTAATTTCGTGACCGTTCATTTATAGATTGGCATGTCTGATTCACAACGGTGCCATTAAAAGCTTTATCAGATCAGGACTAAATTAGATATCCATTTTAATAATTTGAAAAGAGATTATTTTCAATTGCGGTTTTTCTACATAAGTGACTTGCGCATTTTTGCTGCAGGAAAAATATGAAAAATTTATCTGAATTAATCACTTAAAGCTTTAAAAACAATGTCATCTTCCACTTAGTTGATGAGGGCACCGTTGTAAATGGAAATAACCATCTTTAAATGAAGAATCACATTAAATAACGACGACAGTCTTTTTAATTGCTATTTTTCATTTTATATGTATATTAAAAAATCAAATTGTTTAAAAAAATTTTGTTATGTTTTTATTTTTTTGGGGTGAGTAATATACAAAGATAATATAATATATATATAGATATGCAGGCAGGTAGAAACCTCCTTCCTAAATTGCTTGTAGCAGACAACTAATTTTTGAACCTCTGAGAGAAGGTGCAAGGAGAGACATCTATACAAATTGATTACTTTCTATATTCCTTTCTCCCCTTGCTGCCATCTGTAGGAAATACGCATTTGTGTTATATTCAAGGTTTAGGTAACACAAACATACAGTACGCGTTTTGCTTATGTTATGATCAGATCAGTTGTAATTTGTCCTAGACTCGATGTACTTTTATAGTCATAATTTTTATTTAAATTGCGTTAATTACGTATGCCATTCAGTACAACTTGCACATTTAAACTTTGTCTAGTCAAATTCCTACCTCAGTTTTATTTGCATTGATTAATTTGTTTCATTAAGTACAATATGCAGTATACATTGTTGATACTATAGTACGCATTTAGTGTTATCACGCATAAACAAAGTGATAAATTAGCAACAATCCAGAGGATAAAATGCCATGCGTACGACGGAGATGGTGCTGTTTGCACCTTTTCTCAAGACCTCAAAATTTATACCTGCCTGCATATCTATATATATATTATCTTTGGTAATATATAAGAGTTTAAATAGTTGGTTAATTAAACATTTATTTGAGACTTCTTCTTAATTATTTTTCCTGGGGATTGAGGTTATTTTTCAGGGGGAGGGGGGCAGGTACCTGGTAAATCTTTGGGCATAACAATGATCCTCGTCAATAGATTTATTTTCAATCCCTTCAACTTCGCTATCTTGTAATCCTAGATTAAACAAGTTTAAAATTAATCTTTATAACAATGTAAATAGATGTCACCTTCTGCAATTTCTTGTTTAATTAAAGGTGCAGTCTGCTCTAACTTTCGCTCTGAAATTATAAAAAATAAAGATTTTTTTCCTGCTAAATAAGGAATGTGAAAATGAAATTAATAGGATAAGCAGGTTCAAGAAATAATATTTTTTTTAAAATGAGGCTACAACGATAATTAAATAAATAATAAAATTAGACCTGCATCATTGGCCGCCTCACGCTTTACTCTAACCCTAATTGCAGTACACAGTCAGTACAACAAATGATATAAACAGGTACAGGATTAACCGCAAAGGATAAGACTTCAGATTCAGAGACGACTGAACGGAATTAATAACAATCTGTTTCGTTATATTCATGATTCCCTGGAACTCTAAAGTTATTAAATGTTTTGGCAAAGAAAGAAACAAGCTATTATTTAAAGCTCTATGTTTAAGGCAGAAGACTTATTTTAACATTAGTATCGTAGTCTATATATTTTTTACTATAAATATGTTTCTCCATATTTTCTCACTATGGCAGTCAGTATGCTCTTTAAGGATTTAGAATTTTCTTTGCCTTTTTTTTAATAATTACACGATTAGTGAATTAATTTTATAACAAAATATATAGACAGTAACCCCGTGGATTACCTTAAGCCGGCCTCTGAACCCTAGCTTGACAAAAATGGAATAACAGACAAATAGTGGAGATCTAGGAAAATTAAAAACAAAAATTGATAGACGACGATATACAATTAATACAATTTAACTAAGTTTTCGACAATCAAGTTTAATTTAAATTAAAACGGCATCCACGCCGTCTCTGAATAAATAATTGAACTGATGCACTGAAATGTTCCTTGAATTAGAGAAGAGTTCATTTCCAATGTCGCTGAGCAAAGGTTTCAGATCTTCTTTCCGCCTAAAAATAAGTATGATATTCTTATTCACAAAAAAATCATGTATTTCCCTTATTTTACTGGGAGTATGGATTATTTAAAAGAATTTATAAGAAAAAGAATCAAAAAGAGGTAAAAAAATCAAGTCATTTTCTGAAGAAAAAAAAATTTCCAAACGTATTCTGTTTTACAAAACAATACCTTTTATTTTTTACTCAGCAAACTGTCTGAGTAAAAAGCGAGAAAAAAATTAATTTTCTGTCGAAACATTTTGTTTCACTAACTTTTTAAATTATCGAAAAAAGTTCAGATTGCTCAATTTTCACCTTTTGTTGTGAAACACATTTGAGTTTTCTTTCTCTACAATTCCTCTTTTCTCTATTAGAACAGGCTTCCGGTCCAAAGAAATGGGCTTCTTATCAACTTCCTTCACCTTCCTGTCTATCTGAATTGGTTTCTTGTCCCCTTGAACCTGTTTCCTGTCTACTTGGACAGGTTTCCTGTCGATATGCAGGGGTTTCCTTTCCATGTTAATTGTTTCCAACTTATCTTTGCGCCTTCCAGGGGTTTGCTTTACAGTTGGTGGCGGGTTATTGTCCTGTTTAATAAAAAGTTAATGACTGACAATTTTAATTAAATAAAATACAATATATATAATATTAACCTGTAATCGTTTTTTCCTCGCCACTATCGGTTCAGCTGTAAAATCCTTGTCTCCTTCTGGAAAGAAAAAAAATTAGTTCCGACTTGAAAGTATTTTTTTAATTGTTTACCTCTGACAAGAATATCAACGTGTTTCTCAAGATGTTTCTGAACTTGTTTATGGGCTTTTGTTTCACTTCCGAAACTTTGGAACTTGCTCTAGTCACGAGGTATGATAAGACCGTGAATGAGAAAAAAGTGGCGACCTTATTTCAAGCGACTTAATGTAAGGGACTTTCGTTATTTCAAGTATCCCTTCCTCAATGTCCGATTTACAACGATATTATTTGATTCCTTATTCTTAGCAAACTTATGAATATTGAATATAGCCCTGTTTTTCTTTTTGAAAATTTATCATTTTCAATTGCGACAAAAAAATGATTTGCAGATTTATTTATCAGAGTATCAACAATTTAAAAACGATAATATATCTTTCTCTATGCAACCGTTCCAAACCAGCCCCTTTAAAAGAAAGAAAAATTTAAAATTTTCCAGAAAAAAAGCTTTTTAAGGTCTGTATTAAACCTCCCTGGCAAGTTGAAGGTACGAGAAAACAGGAGTAGCTGTAGATTCGTTTTATTTCATCAAAATCAGTCTCAGTAAATATCTTCACTAGCGTGTTCCCTAAAATAAACTTGAAAATAATTCACAAAATAAAAATTTTCAAATGCAACAAAAAAAACGGCTAGTTTCGGCTATGACATTTAGGTAAAAAAAATCTTTTTGAAACATCGGATTGGTCGTTACACTAAAAATTTTATTAAATATTTTTTAAATATCAAAAATATTTTTTTGAAATTTTCGAACGACCCACCTAAATCGCTTTTAATACCTGACATTGCAGAAATCTGATCTATAGACACTAAATCCAGCTCGGCGAGTTTCTTGGGCTGGACAGAGGTGCCCCGCCCCCTCCTTTCATTGCCACCCTCAACATCTCTAATAATTTAGATTTTGATGATTCCAAAACTAAGAAATTGTTAAGCTCATTCCTGATATATTTTAAAATTAAGATTGCTAAATTATAAAAAAACTAAAAAAGCGAAATTTTAGGTTTTTGAATTTATAATTTTCAACAGTTACCTTTTATCGTCTGCATTGCTTTGTAGTTCTTGAGTTGCTATCGCGGCAAGCATATCTAACCCTTCAAAGACCCCAGTTTGGGGATCTTTACTTGATCCCACCATTCTACAGTCTGGGAATACCACCTGTAATAGCTACTATTGATAAAAACACTGATGATCCATTAATAGAGCCGTTACTATGATAGCAACGGGACACGTGCCCCCCCCCCCTTGTAAGATGAAATTTATAAGTTGAATAATTGTTTTTTATTGCACGAAAACTTGGTTTTACGGTCAAGTCCACGGGTCCGTCAGTCAACGATTTTTAGACCCCCCCCCCCCCCCTCCTATCAATTTTGTAGAGGACCTAAATTTCAACTATTTTCAGGGTTAGGGTTAGGACAATTTCTGTGCCAATCGCTGGGGCCAGGACAGAACTTCAATTTCAACAATTTTGAACAAAATTGGTTTATATTTAGGGTTAGGTTAGGTTAAAACACTTTCTGGGCCGAGCGCTGCGGCTAGGACAGGCTAGGGGGCCGAGCGCTGCGGCTAGGACAGGCTAGGGGGCCGAGCGCTGCGGCTAGGACAGGCTAGGGGGCCGAGCGCCGCGGCTAGGACAGGCTAGGGGGCCGAGCGCTGCGGCTAAGACATGCTAGGTGGCCAAACACTGCGGCTAGGACAGGCTAGGGGGCCGAGGGCCGTGGGTAGGACAGGCTAGGGGGCCGAGTGCAGGACAGGCTAGGTGACGAGGGCCGCGGCTAGGACTGGCTAGGGGGCCAAGCGCTGCGGTATACCAAGTAACCAAGTATACCAAAAATTGTTCTCTATGAAATTACCCAAGTTCACATTATTCCCCCGATGTAAGGGGTATAAAGTCATATATTTATCTCTCATTGGGGGTCTGTCCTAGTGAATCCAAAAATCGTATAATAGGACAGACCCAATATTTGCAAATGAAAAAAAACTTCTACGCTAAAGTTTAACTATTTTAAAAAGATGCATTAATTTTATTTGATAATTAAAGGGCGAACATCGAAAATTTATTAATGTTCGTTTGTTTCAATGAATTCAATTAAATTTGTAAAAACTGTATTTGTATCATTGGTCATTTATCATGTTTGTAACAATGAACTATTTTGCATCGCCGCCATTTTCCGTTGATAACAAAGATCATAAGTAAGGGTTAATTTTGAAAAAGTTCGCAAAATACTTGTCAAAAATTGTTACGGTTGCACAAAATAATTTGATAGCATCTCACCTATCGATTTATATTTTTGTTCCTGGGAAAATCTTGTTGAAAAACTGTAAAATTTAATGTTTTCTTTCAGACAAATTCATGTCTGCTTGTGGGGGAAAACAAACGGCAGCAAACCTAGCAGACAAGACTTTCGGGGGAGAAAAGTTTTGTAGATTTTAAACATTTCAAGGATTTAAGTGAAAACTGAAATTTTTTTATCGTTCAAAAAATCTCTTAAAAATAATATCCTAATTTTTTTATAGGAAATAACAGTTTATTTAGAACAAATTAATATGAAACTCTCCATATGAACTCTACGGAACAAAACCACTCCAAATATATGAAAATATGCTTTGTAATGACGACCTTTCTCTGTAGTCATACCGATTTTTCCCCGGGAAATTTAAATAATTCTTAGTTGTAATATTATTTTAAACTAATTTTTAGCTGGTTTCGATGGTATAATGTTACATCGTCTATACGCAACATCCCCCCATCTAAACTTCTGACCTACTATTTTTCCGACACACTGCAAGATCGGACCTACGCCAGCTGTTTATTTTAGATTTAAAATTCAGTGATGGTGATGGACCAAACCTCTGTATCGAGTAAAAAAGTAGATGTTAGTTCCACATTTATTGAAAATATATTTCGGTTTGGGTTGACCCTCGTCAGTTCTAACGATATAATGTTTATTTTAGTATTATTTGAGGGTTAGGTTAAGACAATTTCTGGGCCGAGCGCTGCGGCTAGCTGACAGGCTAGGGGGCCGAGCGCCGCGGCTAGGACAGGCTAGGGGCCGGGCGCTGCGGCCACAAGTTCATATAGCAGCTGTAATACAAGTGCTAGTAGGTCGGATGTGTAGTATTGGCGTAGGTCAGAAGTGGAGTATATGGCGGATTGATATGTGTATGGTCGAAAAATACACTGTTTCGATGCACTGCAACAATACAATTGCAACGATCAAATTTCCAAGCGGAGGGAAAAATTTTGAAAAATAATGATTTACACATAATAGACGCAGAGCTGTGTCCTCAGGGAGGGAAGACAACTTCCCCCACTCAGCTTCCGAACCTCATTTTACCTATTTGTGGCAGTGCACGTCCCCAGAGGGCTTCCGAACCTCCCCCAAACAGTCTTCCCGGAAGGACCTTCCATTTATAATCGTCTATTTTTACTTAAAACGGGACTAATTCGATGATTTAAGCATGGTACTCGATCTATAGTATCAATTAACATTTGCATAATATTTTTTTTAAAATCAAAGTTCGACCTGGAAAATCTTAAACTTGGCCAATTTTGTTTGAAATTGTGTTTGTGTTTCGTTTAGATTTGCGGCAGTTGCTGAATCACCATACTGCTTCCGAACCTCGATGATTTTTAATGATCCATATTTGAAATTTTGTACAGGTTCAAATCCCTTGAACTTGTAAATTAAGAAACTTACATAAACTAATAAACTTACAGAAATTCGTTTTGCAGGCGAAAACGTATTATTTCTATGAAGTTAATTTGCCTGCAAAATAATGGATTAAACAATGAGAAAAGGCAATTTTAGCGATGCTCAAATGAAAGAAAATGCAAATATATTTCAATATGTATATATTTCAAATCTGTAGCGCTTGTAAAAAAAAGGCGGCGATAGTTTTAAAATCATTAAGTTAGAACAGAGTTTTCTTTCCTTTAAATATCTCAATAACTTCAAGGAAAATTATGAGCGAAGAGCTTTATTATACAGATAACTTGAAATTTCAAATTTTGATGAGATCTAATTGTAACTCTCATTTATCTTTGTATAACAAATATGAGAAATGTTATGAGAGCAATTTTAGATGTATTTCAATTAAATTCAATTTAGTTAATTATTGTAATTAATAATTAGATGATTGAAGTGCATTTCACTTTTGAGTCAATGATGTAAATGTAATCTATCATCTGTTTAAATTAAATATTCGATGATTTTTTTTTAAATAATGAAATAAAAGGAATTCCCTCTCCTAAACCACCAATTAAAAAGTTGTAATCATGAATTAAAGGGAAATTAGGGAATTATTTAATTTTTGTAATTGTCATGATATCCATTCAAACATGATACAATTATTAAAATGCAATAATCATAAATCTAAAATTAACATACGATTACAAAAATCTTTATAATATTTTCACAATTTACGAGTTTAATAACAATACAAATCAGATTTAAAATTAAATTAAATAAGGGTCTAAAGACGTACCTTCAAGTGGCCCTTCATTTTTAAAGTATATCAATGATGAAAGGTTGAAAGGATACTATGGAGAATAGGACAGAATTAATGGAGTGCCAAAGACTATACATTCCTTTCAAGATATGGAATATCATCATGAAATTAAAAATTTGAACTCTCACAAGTTAACTGCCAAGAAAGTGATCTGAAATAAAGTTGTTGTAAAAAGAGTTCAGGAAAAAGTTTTGCTGAAAAAAATCTTCCATGAATAAAGGTTATGGGGAAGAAAATCCAAGGAATCAAAAACCTTGGTACTCTTTCCACCAAGTTTTGAGCTTTTGGAAAAATTCAAGTTTTAATCTTACTCCTTATATTTTTTTGCAGTTTGATGTGTAAAACTTTGATATTTCAAATTTAGACGGTTTGGTCTTAAAGAATTTTTAGTTTGAACAACTCAATTCCTTTCCAGAAGTTTTCCTCCGTGAGTTTCATGCCAAAGATCTTGTTGAGGGTTCAATTGATGCTTCCATTGCCCCTGAAGCCCCTGAAGATGCTGGTTCTGAGATCTTACAACATCTCTTTTCATTACAATCAGGTCCCTATAATATATATAAAAAAGAAAACAGAGGAATAAATGTATCTAACTCTTACTATTTATTGTGTAATCTACTATAGATTTTCGATGAGGATCTAATAATTTGTAACTTCTTTTTATAATTATGCCCTGGCCGATTTTAGACTTTGTTAATAGAAAAAAATAATTACCAATCCTTTACAACTTAACAACCTAAGGGCCTTTGAATTTGAAACTTAGATTATTTGATTTAGCAGAATTTATATTGTGAAATAACGAAGGTCTACGACTACGACTACCAGAGTTTGTGGTAAGACTCAATTCTTTAACAAAATTCCAAACCTGACAAAGCCAGCTACAGACTGAAATCTGATCTGAGGTTGGGTTCTCACTATCAGTAAACTCAGGCTGCAGGGTCACCTTGTGCGAATAATTTTTTAGACCATCTTGCAAACTTTGGAAATATAACTTCTTGTGAATTTTACAAAAAGAAAAACACCTTATGCATGATAGCCTTTTGCAAAATCTTTGAATGGTCCAAGTTTGTATAGCCATTAAATTGAATTTTTTCAATGCAAACTCAAATGTTCTAATACCTATGTCATATCATCCTGATGCGTAAACCTCTGACATTTCAAACATTTCTAAGGTTTAAGACATTGGTTTAACTAAAGATAAAGGGATCAGAACATCAGAGTTTGTGGTAAGAGATTCAATTCCTCTCGAGATAAAGAAGAAAAAGTTTACTGTTGTCATTTGAGAGTTCGTAATATTACTCATAAAAACCGGTTTCTCACCTTTTTAAACCCGTGCTCTCGGAAAAAAAGGTCAACGTCAACATACAGAGATTTATACGCCTAAAAAACAACTTTAAAAAACTGGCATTGAGATTTCAAGTGACCCTTCATTTAACGAGGGATGCATCGCTTGTTACAATAAACGTCACTTCACAAAAATTTGTTTAGTTCGATCAATTTCTAAAGATTCCATCCCCGCGCCGGTGGAAAGTACTAACCTGCTTGTTCCTATACTTGATGTGAGCTGAGAGTACATAATCTCCAGGTGTAAAGGTCCAAACATGCATCTCATGGATTCCTAAGATATCAGGATACTTGGCTAGTAGTACCTTCTTCAGTAGGGATACCTCTACATCACCTAGATAAAGGTAGGTAGTTAGTTAGGTAGGTAGGTAGGTAGGTATGGTAGGTAAGTATGGTAGGTAGGTAGGTAGGTAGGTAGGTATAGGTAGGTAGATAGGTAGGTAGGTAGGTAGGTAGGTAAATAGGTAGGTAGGTAGATAGGTAGGTATGTAGGTAGGTAGGTAGGTAGATAGGAAGAGGGAAGGAAGGAAGGAAGGTAGGTAGGTAGGTAGGTAGGTAGGTAGGTAGGTAGGTAGGTAGGTAGGTAGGTAGGTAGGTAGGTAGGTAGGTAGGTAGGTAGGTATGTAGGTAGGTAGGTATGTAGGTAGGTAGGTAAGTAGGTAGGTAGATAGGTAGGTAGGTAGGTATGTAGGTAGGTAGGTAGGTAGGTGAGTATGTAGGTAGGTAGGTAGGTAGATAGGTAGGTAGGTATGTAGGTATGTATATAGGAGTAGGTAGGTATGTGGTATCTAGGTGGGTAGGTAGGTAGGTAGTTAGGTAGGTAGGTATAGGTAAATAGGTAGGTAGGTTGGAAGGAAGGTAGGTTATGTGGTATCTAGGTGGGTAGGTAGGTAGGTAGTTAGGTAGGTAGGTATAGGTAAATAGGTAGGTAGGTTGGAAGGAAGGTAGGTAGGTAGGTAAATAGGTAGGTAGGTTGGAAGGAAGGTAGGTAGTTAGGTAAATAGGTAGGTAGGTTGGAAGGAAGATAGGTACCTGGAATAGTCTGCAGAAGAATATAACAACTTTCTTTAACTATAGCAGAACTTGACCAGATTAAAGAAGTGATGTACAACATAGCTATTACTGGGTCTATGTACATTATGTACTCTTCACTGGCAAAATAGTGCAACTTTTAGAGAACTTATTTAACGAAGACAGAAAACAGCCAAATAAAAAATAATCATCTTTCTTTAATAATTTAAATCTTAAAGATGAAAAACACATGCGTTAAAAAATTATCATTAACAGTTTTTATTATATTTTTGTTTTTAATGCTTGATAATATTAATTGAAAAATGTTTTGTTTTCAATTTTGTCTTTTTCCTTAATATGCCGAATATCACCAGACAGCAGGTTACTTGAAATAACAAAAAATAATTATTTTTCCAAATATTTTAGTTGTGTAGGAGTTTCAGATAATTTAGAATGGCGTTAAACAATTTAATTTCTTATAAAATATAAAACTCATTAACTGCGAACTGTGGAGAAAGCGAAAGTAAATTTATGAACAATACTAGTACGAATTTGTGACCTTGGAGCTTCTCTTGTTTAGATTTTACAGTTTACACACAAGTATGAGAAAAGGCATATTAATTTGATTACATTTACAGTACATTTAAAACATTTTTGTTTATCTCAATAGCTCTTCATTAAAGAGAGTTATGATTGAAAGCCTATAACATTTTAATCTTACGTGCATTTTTCTTTATTTTAATATTCATTGTCATTTTAACTGGCTAAAAATGTTCACTTTGCGGCAAGGGAGTTATGATTAAATGATTTTTTTTCTTCTAAAACTTCGGTTACTTTATGCAATCCCTGCATCCATCATTAAAAGTTGAACGATTTTTAATACCTAGACCAAACCCTGCTCCTTGTAGATCCCGAGCAATTTCTTTCAACTGAACCTAGAAAAAAAACTTAATGAAATTCAAGGTAAAGAATTTTACAAAATATCAAAAAAATTAACATTTTGACAAGAGAAAAAAATACTTTTAAATATAAAAGATTACCTCCGTTAAAACATCTTTGAAAGATTTTGTCTCCGTCTCTAAACTGCTATCAAAATTAATCTTTTCTTAAATGTAAAAAAACTGGGCTTCCAGTTTGCGACTTTGTCGATATTTTTTCGTAGGTTATCAATAATCCTCTAATCAAGAATGAATTAGATATCCATTTTATTTGTAAAACATGTTATCTTCAATTGTGGTTTTTCTATAAAATATATATCGGAATTATCAGAATTAAACATTTTTGAACCTGGATCAACGATATCTTTCACATTATTGAATTATATAAATTAAGCATAAACCATTTTGGAATGGAGGGTCAATTGAAATTATGCTTTCAGTCTCTTTAACAAATGTTTGGCTGAACAAACCTCTGGTTATTTCCTGCATGTTTTCCATTCCTTAGTCCTAACCGCAATCATTGTTTTGGGCAAGTTGGCCAAAAACAAACTAAACTTGAATTAACATTTTTAAGCAATTTCATTCCTAATTTGCTTTATCTTTCCACCTGAACTCTTCGATCTCTCCATCCTTTAAAAAAATTCATTTACTTTGTGTAAGGAATTAATCCTATCCCAGTGGGGATTGTAACTTTGCAAATAAGCATTTTTTTAAAACTAGTAGATAGATAGGACGTGAAATGACCTTTCTATGAAAAGCCCTTTCTCAAAAATGTCCTATCTATTAAATTACCTGTCTTTACAATGTCCTCACTAAAAAATGTCCTGACTATGAAATATACCATTATTTATTTATCTTGATTTATGAATAAATTTTTCTATAAAATGTCCTGTCTGAGTCTCAGAAAAATCCCATCTATGTAAATCCTATCTCTGAAAATCCTTTCTATGAAAAATCCTATCTATGAAAAATCATATCTATGAGAATCCTATCTATGAAAAATTCTATCTATCAAAATCCTGTCTATGAAAAATCCTATCTCTGAAAATCCTATCTATGAAAAATCCTATCTATGAAAAATCCTATCTATGAAAATCCTATCTATGAAAATCCTATCTATGTAAATCCTATTTATGTAAATCCTATCTATGAGAATCCTATCTATGAAAAAATCTATCTATGAAAATCCTGTCTATGAAAAATCCTATCTATAAAAATCCTATCTATGAAAATCCTATCTATGTAAATCCTATCTATGAAAATCCTATCTATGTAAATCCTATCTATGAAAATACTCTATGAGAATCCTATCTTTGAAAAATTCTATCTATGAAAATCCTGTCTATGAAAAATCCTATCTATGAAAATCCTATCTATGAAAAATCCTATCTATGAAAAATTCTATCTATGAAAATCCTATATATGTAAATCCTATCTTTGAAATTCTATCTATGTAAATCCTACCTATGAAAATCCTATCTATGAGAATCCTATCTATGAAAAATTCTATCTATGAAAATCCTGTCTATGAAAAATCCAATCTCTGAAAATCCTATCTATGAAAAATCCTATCTATGAAAAATCCTATCTATGAAAATCCTATCTATGAAAATCCTGTCTATGTAAATCCTATCTATGAAAATCCTATCTATGAGAATCCTATCTATGAAAAATTCTATCTATGAAAAATCCTACCTATGAAAATCCTATCTATGAAAATCCTATCTATGTAAATCCTAACTATGAAAATTCTCTATGAGAATCCTATCTATGAAAAATTCTATCCATGAAAATCCTGTCTATAAAAAATCCTATCTAAGAAAAATCCTATCTATGAAAATTCTGTCTAGAAAAAATCCTATATATGAAAATCCTATCTATGAAAATCCTATCTATGTAAATCCTAACTATGAAAATTCTCTATGAGAATCCTATCTATGAAAAATTCTATCTATGAAAATCCTGTCTAGAAAAAATCCTATCTATGAAAATCCTATCTATGAGAATCCTATCTATGAAAAAATCCTATCTTTGTAAAATCCTATCTATGAAAATCCTATCTATGTAAATCCTATCTATGAAAATCCTATCTATGAAAATTCTCTATGAGAATCCTATCTATGAAAAATTCTATCTATGAAAATCCTATCTATGAAAAATCCTATCTATGAAAATCCTATCTATGTAAATCCTATGAAAAATCCTATCTATGAAAAATCCTATCTATGAAAAATCCTATCTATGAAAAATCCTTTCTATAAGAATCCTGTCTATGAAAAATCCTATCTATGAAAAATCCTATCTATGAAAATCCTATCTATGTAAATCCAATCTATGAAAATCCTATCTATGTAAATCCTATCTATGAAAATTCTCTATGAAAATCCTTTCTATGAAAAATCCTATCTATGAAAAATCCTATCTATGAAATCCTATCTATGAAAATCCTATCTATGTAAATCCAATCTATGAAAATCCTATCTATGTAAATCCTATCTATGAAAATTCTCTATGAAAATCCTTTCTATGAAAAATCCTATCTATGAAAAATCCTATCTATGAAAAATCCTATCTATGAAAAATCCTATCTATGAGAATCCTATCTATGAAAAATCCTGTCTATGAAAATTCCTATCTATGAAAATCCTGTCTATGAAAAATCCTATCTATGAGAATCCTGTCTATGAAAAATCCTATCTATGAGAACCCTATCTATGAGAATCCTATATATGAGAATCCTATCTATGAAAAAACCTATCTATGGACTCCTATCTATGAAAAATCCTATCTATGGAAATCCTGTCTATGAAAAATTCTATCTATGAGAATCCTATCTATGAGAATTCTATCTATGAGAATCCTATCTATGAAAAATCGATCTATGAAAAATTCTATCTATGAAAAATCCTATCTATAAGAATCCTATCTATGAAAAATCCTATCTTTGAGAATCCTATCTATGAAAAATCCTATCTATGAAAAATCCTATTTATGAGAATCCTATCTATGAAAAATCCTATCTATGAGAATCCTATCTATGAAAAATCCTATCTATGAGAATCCTATCTATGAAAAATCCTATTTATGAGAATCCTATCTATGAAAAATCCTATTTATGAGAATCCTATCTATGTAAAATCCTATCTATAAAAAGCCTCTTCATGATTTTGTGATGTTCGGCATGAAAAAATGATTTCTTGCTCAACCTGACAGCTGTGTTTTGTTGATGGGTATATCCTCCAAGAAAAATAAAAGCCAGGAACCAAACTCCAATGTGAACTGACAAATACATATAGATCAAAACAAACAAAAACAAAATATCTCTGAAAAAAGTTTTAAAATGTAAATTTTTCTAAACAATAATCTTAAAAAATTAAACTTCATTAAACTACAATTTATAATATAAAGGTTCTCTAAATAGTAAAACTGTTTTGACCTTTACTCCCCATAGCAACCCCCCCCCCCAACCTCCTTCCAACCCCAGATTTGCCCCTGTACCTGCCAGAAGTAGAAGAATCCAGTCAGGATTATGCATTGTATCCAAATGATCTAAATTTAAACATAAAAGTTAACAAAAAATTATTTTCAATGTATGTGACTGGGATCTGGGCCGACTTGTTGCAACACCCTGGCCTTGATTTTACCTCTCTAATACTTATTTGTTTATAGCTCTAGACATGTAAATTGTAAGCTTTAAAACTACGAATTCATTTTAGATTTTGTTTTAAAGAAGATATATTTCTTTATTTTCTCTTTAGTCAAAGCCCTGATCCTGATGTATTCTCACAGTGCACAGTATAACATTTAAAGGTATGTTCAACAGTTCAAACACTTAGTTCTATTAATCAACGTCTGTAATGGTTCAGGACTTAGAAAATACATTAACGAAAGTTTGCTTTGAGAAAATCCAACGAAAGGCCGGGTTAGGTTTCTTCTCCAGGGAAAAAATATTTAGGGTAAACAGTTTTAAAATTTGTATATTTTTTCAGACTTTTGGTGAGCCTTTTCAAATTCCCAAATCTTAAAGTTTAAAAATAAACTAATTCATTGTCCATCTCTACTTTAAATAAAAGGTACTCGGAATTTAAACTGTACAATGCTACATCTATGCAGAGCCCAAAACTTAAGACAGAGTATCGTTATAAAAACCAGTTTTAGAACCAGGGTTTCACGAATGGGATTTGAGCAGTTGTGTAGATATAGATTTTTATTGTGAAATTTCATTATATTTAGTTTCTTTATATTCTCCAATTTTTTCGAATCTTTTAAATCAAAATGTACACAAAAGTTAATACCCCAAAAAGGAAACTCGGGAGTTTCGTTCAACGATACTCTTTTAAATTTCGGGCTCAGTGTACAACCACTTAAATTTAAAGTGTACACACTGTGCTGTGTGTAGAATATACCTGTATGGAATATTGTCTGTATGGCTTCTATAAAAGTTGCAAAGCAAAGTGAAGAGAGAAACACTAAAGAAGCGATGGACCCAACTACCTATAAATAATTTGAAGGACTTGCAAGTGTAATTTCAAGTGATCATACATATATATCTATAGAGGTGTCGATTCACAACAGCACCATTTGAACCTTTGACTGATCAAGGATGCCATGACTTATACCTCTTTATCTACAGAAACTCTTGTAATTGTTAAACACTTTATATACAAGCTGTTTCTGTATTTAGGAAATATTAATATTTACTTTCTAGAAGTGGCAGTAACAGTTGAGTTAAGAAGCTGTACGTATGCGTCTATTTCTGTTTATTCCCTACAATTATCCAACACTATTTATTTCTCTCTGGCCTCAATGACCAGTCAAAGGATTAACTGTACCCTAACAAATTGGGCATTGCCATCTTAACATATTAAACAGATTATAAGTGCCGACTGCCGATGGCGAGGATGTCAGGTAAATCATTCTGGACTTTATATATTCGACATCGGTTTGTTTATGTCTAAATGTTTTCAGGGGTTTAAAAAAATGTTTTAATGTCAAAGCTTACCTCTATTCTGTGCCAACCAAAAGTATTCTTTAAACTTTTATCTCGACTTAACTAAACAATTAACATTGGTTTAAAATTTTTGGAGCAAATAAAGCAAATGCCAGATTACATGATTATTTTTTTATCTTTACTACTGATTCATGGACAACTGCAAAGTCTTTGTGAAAGTAACTATACATAATCATCATCATTCTACTGTTTAAACAAGATTTGATTTTAGACTTGTTGCTTTTTTAAAGTTTGAAAATTTTGATTCTTTATTCATCCAAGAAGTAATTAGAAAGGAACTGATGCAGTGATGCAGACATATAATATTGAAACGCAAATTGCAATTAAATCTTGGAAGTGACGCAGGCAATTGATATCACGATGCAATTATACCTTGGTATTGATGCAGGCAACTGCAATCGTGAAGCAAATATACCTTGGAAGAGGTACCGGCAACTGATATTGTGATACATTTATACCGTAGTAATGATGCAGACAACTGATATTGTGATACATTTATACCGTAGTAATGATGCAGACAACTGATATTGTGATACATTTATACCGTAGTAATGATGCAGGCAACTGATATTGTGATGCATTTATACCGTAGTAATGATGCAGGCAACTGATATTGTGATGAATTTATACCGTAGTAATGATGCAGGCAACTGATATTGTGATACATTGTAACTTGGAAATGATGCAGGCAATTGATATTTTATTACAATTATACCTTGGTAGTGATGCAGGCAACTGATATCGTGATGCAGTTATAGATGTTTTGATGCACTAGAACTAACAGAGTGATAGAGTGACAGATCTAGACAAGCAAAAAGAGTTACTATTTACAAATGATAACTGATGATTTAACCTGTGCCATGACCAGCTCGCCCGAGGTCATAATTGCGGTCAGAATTAAAACCAAGACCAGCCGGGACAGTGGAACCATCTATACAGTATTATTATCATTATTGTTATTGTTATTGTTATTGTTATTGTTATTGTTATTGTTATTGTTATTGTTATTGTTATTGTTATTGTTATTGTTATTGTTATTGTTATCGTTATCGTTATCGTTATCGTTATCGTTATTGTTATTGTTATTGTTATTGTTATTGTTATTGTAATTGTTATTATTATTGTTATCATTATCATTATCATCATCATCATTATTATTATTGTTATGTTATTGTTATTGTTGTTGTTGTTGTTGTTGTTATTATAATTGTTATTGTTAATATTATTATTGTTATACCTTCTGTCTCCTGCTTGGTTTGCTATTTCTCTCATGTAGCAGCGTAGAGTATTCGACCACATCGCACATTTTTAAAATCTTTAAACAAATTATTATTTCCCAAAATTTTACCAATTTGCATCATCCTTAATTATGCAGTGTTAATTTCCTAGCTGTATTCTCTGTGTATATATTTACTGTAGTTTTCACTAATTGAAGTTTAACGGATCACTCCCTTCAAACTCTAATTTGCATCTCCATAATAAGCATTTACTGATTTAAATTGCAGAATTTATTGTTTAATATACGTTTACGAAGGTATGCAAAAATAGGAAGCTAAGATGTTATGATAAGAAAACTATAATTTAAGGCAGGTATAATCAGTTCCGTCGTCAAGACCGATTCGATATACACACCAAAAAATTCCAGAAATTTACATCCTGTTATCTGTCAGTTGTCACCAAGTATTTGTGCTTAAGGGGCCTGTTTAGTGTTTACGTTGTCAACCCTAAACAATGAGCTTACTCTGTTGTAAAGTCGTCTTTGACTAAGATTTTCTCCGGCGATTCAAAAAGTTAAAAATAACACTTAAAAGATTGTGATTTACATTTTGAAACCAATTTGATTTCATTTCAGAAGATAAAACGTTGTTTTAGTACTGTCCAATAACCGGCCTATCCTTTAACACCCAGAATTAGTAAGGATATTTTAATTACTATAAAACAAAATATTCGTACCTAGTAAACCATTGTTAATTAAGTATATTTTTAGGATCGAAATAAACGGAACTCATTTATTATCGACTTATGGGTCTAGTAGAGGATAAGAAGGACACTTAGCGATCAGTTTAAGTTTACAGTTTACAGTTTGAAGTTTACAGTTTACAGTTTACAGTTTACAATTAACAGTATTCAGTTAGAGATCTCCAGTTGATCGGGATCTTTGTTATTGCCTGGGAAAATTGGCTCCAGAGCCCAAAACTTAAAACAGGGTATCGTAATGAAAACCAGTTTTAAAACCCGGGTTTCGCGAATGGGGTTAGGCAGTTTTGTGGATATCAATATTTTTTGTTGTGAAATATCATTTTATTTATTTTCTTCATATTCTCCACTTTTTAAATCTTTTAAATCAAAATCTACAATAATGCTTAGACCCCATAAAGGAAACTCTAGAGTTTCGTTCAACGAAACTCTTAAATTTCGGGCTCTGTAGTTCTCATCCGCACATTTCGAGATCATTCCCCATTTCAACTCAACAAACGTATTGTAAATTTATATAGAATTCAACCTCCGATTACCCTTCACACAGTTTTCTAAGAAAAATATAAAAAAATATCAGAGTTTTTACTTCTAACAATTGATAATTTTTTTGTTCTCCATCATTTTTTAGAAGGATGATCAAGTTTAAGGAAAATTAATATTTTTTTAAAGAAAAACGGCGATTAATTCCTCACCTCTTCCTAATTAGATGTTTTAAGGAACTTTTGTAAATCAAACATTTGAAATTACGTCAACTTTCTTTTAACATAATTATATAGAGGGAGTTTAAGCATAATATTAAGCGAGTAAAGAGAGCTGTTTGGTTAAATATATTGAAAACCACATGAATCCTTGTAAAATGCGGTGTACTCTGCGTACACTCTGAACTCGACAAGGACTATAAAACCGGTTTCCAAAAGTTTCAAATAAAATATGTATTGCCAATTCTGGAAAAAAATAGTAATATCTTTAAAAGTTAAAACTGCTATAGCTACAAGCAAAGTGTTAATTTAAATCGATTTTGATTATTGAGAATAGTCTGACAACCTTAATCAGAATAAGATTTTAAGGGGCCGTTGTTTATATCTTTGCGATGACGGGTCAATTGAAATTACGCGCTTTCAGTCCCTTTAAGAGAATTTGTAAGTATTTGGAAATTAAATTTCAACTATCACTTAAATTCTAATTCTGTTATCTTGAATCCAACTGACTCCTTGTCTAAGTACAAACTGTCTGATAATGATTAAGTTCTGCGGCTTCAAAATAAACAAGTTTTCACAATTTAGTGAAAATATATCTCACATTTTTTCAAATTTAGAAAGGAAAATTACATTTGGAGAAATATAGATCAACTAAAAATTGTAATCAGCGAGTGTACTTTTATAATAATTACAAAAAAAACTAAAACCCCTTGACAAAATGTTACCCCTCTCCATACTACTGACTTTCCCCCCCCCCCTCTAGCATCATCTGATCATGAAGGTCACACTGACCCAAACCCAATCCCGATATTTGAGCATGCGCAGTACTTTGTTTACTGTAAAGAAGAATGCAATAATTGACACGATTTTACTTTGTCGTATGAGGTGTATTATTGAATATAAGATTTTGAGCATATTAGTCCTTCTATTAAACTTAGTTCAAAAATAGAAGTTTAATTTGAATATGCCGCATAGTTTTGACCTTTTTCTTTGTTGTTTTAAGAATATAGCTATAAACGAGGATTTCTGAAAAGGGATGAGAAAATAATAGATATGAGCATAGAGTATAAGCATTCATACTGACCATCTGCAGACCGTGTGTCCCAATTATAACATGTGAATTTAGTGACGAATCTGAAAGTATCTTTTAGTTAAAAATTATTAATTGTGTCACCCTAGATTTTGTTTACCTTTTAAATTTCAAACCGTTAATTTGAAACCTGAATCCAAACCATCACCAAGATTTGTGCGAAATCATTTAAAACAAATGCTCAATAAAATTAATTGATTTTGGTTCTAATTAATATTAAAAATTGTTTATTTTTTCCATCTTTTTAATAGCAAACCGCCAAGTAGTTTTACCAAATATCTAAACGAATCAAAAATAATAATTTGCGTGGATTTGCACATCGGTTATTCAAATAAAGAAAATAATCATCAGTTTCTATACATTTAACCTTTTTACCTTCATCTTACCAACATTAATGGGATATCGTTGTTTTCTTAAATGGCACTTTATTCTATAATATCAATATAAAATTTAAAATAACATATGCTTCAAACAATATAATTTCCATATTTACAATAATACATTTCTTTTGCTGCGGATCGATTAATTTTGTCAGTAAATAGTAAAATTTATGTTATCCGTGATATATAAATAATAAAAAACAAATATAGGACATATACATTAAAACATTTGAATCAAACAATTTAACTTTAAATAAAATATTTGTCTTCAATTTTAAATTTTAAAAACCTGTTAAATGGGCGACCCTACATGTAAAATAGAGGATATTCAAGCGTGATGAATATCTTTTTTTAAATATTCTGCAGTCTGTTCGCAAACTTTTTTCATGTTTGTTTATCATTATATTATTGTTTTTGTTCCTGGAAATATGATTACCATAAGCTATAGTAAAAGATAAGAACAAAATTAATTAAACTGAATTTTTGTGGATATAATATATACTATATAGGTCTAAACTTTAATATGAGATTTTACGTCTCTTATTGAACGATAGAAGATTTTTTGTGGATTCTATTTATGCATAGATATCACAAAAGAAATAACTTAATCCGTATGACTACTCCAAAGATACAGACAAAAACTTACTACGGATTAGTTGTACAAACGTTTTGACCTCAAGCAAAGTTCATTTATATTTTTTTTTTCATAACACTGTTCTGTAAATTGGACAGTAGTGCAAAGAAATAGGCTCAAGAGCTGCCGGCAGCTTATTAATATTAACATTGTACATGACCTACTTCACATGTTGTATTTTACAATTGGTTGTATTTATAGGTTTGTATTCCTACTGCAGTGCCTATAGATCAGTAAATGAATATTAAAATGATGAAAGTTTTCTGCTGCTTTGTGATCTGTTTGTCTGCTTGTTTCTGCTAATTTATTAGATTCTGCTGAGCAGAGGAGAGACGGATTGTCCAAGTTCTGCTGGTTTGAACCAATAAAGGACAAATTTAGTTTTCTTAATCGTCTTAGATTATAGTTTACACAAATCCTTTCAATATCTTCATCTTCATTATCATCTAAATCTTCATCAATATCTTCATCTGGAAAAATAAAATAAAATAAAATAAAATAATTTTTATTTTGTGTGGAAACATGCGTGTCTTGACGTTTTCTTTTCAATGGCTTTTTAAATATGCTAATTTTAAGCCCATAGCTCTTTAGATATTTTAGCCAATTTTGAATATTTTTAGATAACCCAAGCTGCATTCCTACTGATATTAATCATTACGCTTCCCAAGGTTATAATGCAAGGAAAGTTATTTCAGAGGTGCACGCGATCTTTAGTACTGCAGTGTACTGTCTCTGGGCGGTAAATTGTAAACACAAGACGGATGTCGAATCCTGACGTGGGTTTCATCTTTCCCATAAAAAAATCAATGAAATATTCTGGTCATAGGAAACTATTATGTGAATCATCAAAATTATCAAATGTAATGCTTTCAACCTCCTCGGATACTAAACGAACACATGCATCTATTCTTGTTTACAAATTCCGCCCAGAGAGAACTGTTCTCAATATGTACGCAGAGTATACGCAACTGCAATTAACTTTCCTTGCATTATAACCGTGACGCTTTCAGTCTCTTTCAATCGGAGATCTTACGATTTAACTGTACCTGTACAGAGATGTTCAGGACTAGTAGTACACTGTACAAGTGTACTTCCGGAGTACGCAATTCGGACCTCAACACTTTCATCAGCTAGGTGCCTAGATTACATAGCATACTATATAACAGTGCAGAAAGTCATAAAAGTTCAAAATCATAACATATCTTTCTCGATCTGATACTTATAAATTATTTTATAAAATGGAAAGATCTGATTTTTTAAAATGAATTTAATCATTTCACTTGTTGAATACAGGATAATTGGCGGTCAGATTAGTATGCCTGGATATAGGGATATAGACAGGTTGGATAAGTGTACCTGGATATAGGGATATAGACAGGTTGGATTAGTATACCTGGATATAGGGATATAGACAGGTTGGATAAGTATACCTGGATATAGGGATATAGGGTTGGATAAGTATACCTGGATATAGGGATATAGACAGGTTGGATAAGTGTACCTGGATATAGGGATATAGACAGGTTGGATAAGTGTACCTGGATATAGGGATATAGACAGGTTAGATTGGTATACGTGGATATAAGGATATAGACAGGTTAGATGGGTATACCTGGATATAGGGATATAGACAGGTTGGATAAGTTTACCTGGATATTGGGATATAGACAGGTTGGATAAGTGTACCTGGATATAGGGGATATAGACAGGTTGGATAAGTATACCTGGATATAGGGATATAGACAGGTTGAATTATTATACCTGGATATAGGGATAAGACATGTTAGATTAGTTCCGTCACAGAGCTTACAGTTCTCCGAGCTCAGATTAAACCTTCCAACAGACGTATCAACCTGGAAATATATGAAGTTAAAAAAGTGTATATACTGTTTAAAATGAATATTTAGTGTGATTGTTAAGATATTTCAATATTGATGAAGCTAACAATTATTTATCGGAGGATTCTTATTGTGTATCTAATGTATATTCCGATGAATTAGGTAATTTTTTTGGGATATCTTTTGTGCAAATCAGAATTCAAAGAAAGATGTTTTTAATGAATTAAGTATCTAATTGCTTAAAATCAAACATTTCTGAAGTATTTACACTATAGCGCTGGTTCATTAACTCAATACAGCTTGTCGTCACCATTCTATTGGTTAAAAAGCCTACAACCGTTTTATAAACTGATTATAAGTTCTACCTTAATCCTAACCCATTCTCCATTCCAGGGAACACAACCATGACCATTCATAACTCCTCGCTTTTTTCGACCCAACGAAGCACTTTTTGCAGAAACCTCATTTTCTCTTGAAAAACCTTCTTTTAACGAGGATTTTTTTCCTTCGACAAATTCCAGGTTTGAATGAGTTTGATGGTCTACACTGTTCTGAAGATGATTTGGAACCTTTTTCGAAACCTGGAATAGTTACTGGTAAACATTTTTAAGAGAATGATTGAAGCAAGGGTGTAATGCAGGGAAAGTTAATTGCGGTCGTGCATACTCTGCGTACATATTGAAACCAGTTCTCTTTGGGCGGAATTTTTAAACAAGAATAGATGCATCAGTGTTCGTTTAGTATCCGATGAGGTTAAAAGCATTAAATTTTGATAATTTTGATAATTCACATAATAGTTTCCTATGACCAGAATATTTCATTGATTTTTTATGTGAAAGATGGATCCCATGTCAGGCTTTGACATCCGTCTTGTGTTTACATTACCGCCCAGAGACAATACACTGCAGTAAAAAAGATGTGTAACTTCTGAAATAACTTTCCTTGCGTTATATCCTTGGATTGAAAGCTCTAGTTTTCACCATCCGATCAGAAACTTTTAGTAGATATAAAAAATGTCCAAAATTGAGTTTGAAGTAAAGCTTTAATTGATTTTACAGAAAGCAATATTTTAAAGTAAATTTTCCCCCTCGCCATTTTTCCCACTTCGTGATTTTATTTCCAAGTGCTTTTTCCAATATGTGAATTTTTCCCCAGGTGACATGACATATAACAGTTCCTCATTTGTGAAAGCTAGGAAGGTATAGTTGTCTTTTCAAATAATTCACGAACCTGTTCAAGATTATTTCTTCTGTACCATGTGAGCAAACTGTTAAAATCAGTCCAAACTCCAGATTCATAGTTGAGGTTTACTCCACCAGCACTTCGTTTAACAATCTTCCCAGTAGTATCATCATCATCATTCTCAATATCAACTAGAAATATATTTGAAGTCAATTCATAAAAATGTCCACCTCAAAGTTGCTCTACCAAATTGAGAATACACATACTTCAAAAATATTGATGATAAGGCTGTCTATTCAATTTGATTATGAGATGCTTGATGAAGAGAAGTTTAAAGTTTGACAACTGGAAAATTAATTTCTAGATAAACTATAAAACAGTTTTTATTAAACACCGCCTAATTTTAATTTAAAAAGAGAGTTTTTCTGTGTTTTCAAAATTTTAACCATTTTGAATCTTTGAATTACTTTTTGTTCTGATCGTAGGCAATTCTCAAAGATGTTCAAAGTTCATCAAGGCCCTTCTGAAAACTGGCTCTTTACTATTTCATTTTATTTATGTCCACCGAATTATATTGGTAAAAAATAATGTAAAAGTACCATTAACATTACTAGAGTTGGTTTCCCCTTGACCATCTTCCTTGACAAGTGTATCATTAAAGTTGTAATCATCAGTTGATACTTCATCCCAGTATCCTTCATCATCATTAGAGATCTCTTTAGCAGTTTCATTCAGGTCTTCTTCTTTGGGAAGATTCACTGTAATAAAAATAAATAAGATTTCCAGCAGAATTCAAGAATTTTTGAGTGCAAATTTTTGTTTGCAATTTTCATAACCTTCCTTGCAAATCAACACTATCTCGCAAATTGCAAGATTTTCCCACCAAATATAGTGGCGCCAAGCAAGCATAAAATATCGCGAAATAATTTTTCAAAAACACAACAATTTTAACTCAAAAAAGGTTTGTAACTTACATGACGGTTAAGAATTACAATTAAGAATTACAATTAAGAATTGCGATTAAAATGTTAGCCATTTTGAATTAATGAAATTTACGCAAAAATATTTGGGAAAAGGAGTTCTGGAATATGTTTTATGACAAGCAGTTGAGAAAGTTTTCTGCTGGTTTCTATGTACTAAATTAATTTTGCTCAATACTATACAATTATGGGCACACTGCAAGCAAATTTGCACGATATTTAGTTTTCAATGTGAACCAACAGGGAAAAAATTATATACCTTGAACATTGTCTGTAGTTCCAAACTTCCCCGGGAACTTTTCTGCTTGTTCTTCGTTTGATAAACCAATACCGTTCAAAGCTGCAAGAAGACGACCTTTTTCTGAAATCTGGTCTCCTGTTTTCTCCAGGTCGCTAACTTTTCTTAACTTCTGATCATCTTTGAAGCTAAGCATCTCTTTTGAATTTTCAGGAGATTCCGATTTTTCCGCTTCATCTTCCTGAAGTTCATCCTTGTAGTCAATCGAAAGTTGGTCATAACCGTCCTCATGGTCTTCATCATGAGCTCCTTCAATAGGATCTTCCTCTGAATGCTCAACATGTTTTCCATTACCTTTAAAGATTATATTTTCCCCTAAATCTATTTTCTCCAGTTTTGATTGATCATCTTTACAGACAGGTCCGTCTTTTTGATTTTCGCAAGCTAAATCAAATTCGTCATCTTTATGATTCTTGTTTATCTTCTCTTCTTTATCTTCAGTCCAGAGTTCATCATACAGTTCATCAACACTTTCACTCTCATCACCTTCATCATCAAATAAATCACTGGATTCAATCCTGGTGTCATTACCTTCAATATCTAGGTTGGTATCGTTATCTTTTGCCTGGTCTTGTAACATCTCAACCTTGCCCTTTGTAAGGTTTTCATCCTCAATATGTTTGGGAATTTCATTTGATTCATTTTCAAAATCATTCCAAATCTCATCATAGATTTCATCTTCAGTTTTATCAACTCTTGATGCACCATCGTCAATGTTGGTTTGATCATTGTTTAATATTTTTCCTTGGTCTTCCATAATATCCCCAATTCCATCATGTTTTAATGCTATTTCAATATCTTTTACCTTCTCTTTAGGAATTGAATTCAGTTCAATGTTATCATCAATGATTTCTTTCAGGTTATCTGTATTTGAGATTTCATCGACTTCTGACTTGTTAATCAACTCTTTGAAGGGAGTAGAATCTGAGTTTGATGATACTGTTTTAGGCAAATCTGATACCTGAATTTCATTCAGGATCTGAACATTGTCTACTTGGGCAAGATGTTCCCCATGTGCCGTGTTAAAGGTTTGATTACTCAACAGAGAATCTTCTAAAATCTTATCTTTCATAACATTAGCAGTATCATTTTGATTCTCAGTTTCCTTATTAACAAGATTCAGGTACTTCTCCATATTTGTATTATCAAGTTCAATCAAAGGCTCACTTGGGCCAAGAGGACTATTGCTTTCTTCTGGATAGCTCTGAAATTTATCAATAATTTTAGTCTCCTCATCTGAGAATATAGTCTGATCTTGGGCAGAGTTTTCATCTTGTTCTTTGTATTCTTCTTTTAAAATCTGACTTTGAATGGCATCCAGCTGATCATCAAAGTTCAACACTTCTTCTGCTGTTCTTGCATGAGTGTCAATTTCATCATCTGTGATTTCAATAGTTTTATTTTCATAAATTGAAGAGTTAAAAGCGTTTTCAGAAATGTTTAGGCTGTCCACATCACTTCCAGGTTTTTCATCTTTTTCTCCAAAGATGTTGTTAGAATCTTTTTTTGTATCATTTTCAGTGATGATAACATCCTGATTGCCCCAATTTGTTGGCTCATTAACGTCTTTATAAACAACTTCATGAGCATCATTTTCTGGAAGTAAAATTATCTCAATCTGTTCTGAATTGTTCTCGACAATATTTTTAAAATCCGTCTTTCTTTCATTATAAGTGATTTCTGAAAGTTGTTCTGAAACCTTGACATCATCCGGATTTATACCGGTGTCCTTGTGGGTTTGATAAGTGTCGTCAATGTTATATTTCTCAGTGTAACTAATTTCTGAAATTGGGTTCGGAAAAACATTGTTAAATTTCTTCTCTGAGTCTATATATGCCTCTACTGGAGTTTCAATAGATCCCTTAACTTCATCATTCTTAGAGCTTTTGTCAAAGGAATCTTCCTGTTCGTCATTGGATGTTAAATTACTTGACTTGGTGACATTTATATCATCATTAGCTTTGGTATCTTCCTGATCTTGTGTCAGATCCTGATTTTCATTTCCATCTTCTTGACTATAAGGAATCTTGTAAAACGAGTTTTGGTCTTTAAGTTTGTTTGAACTTTCCTCTGCACTCTTGCTGATTTCATCCTGATTTTCATTAGCAAACTTGTCCTTGTAGAGCTCATCATATGTATTGTCAACTTGAGGGGAAAGCATTTCTTCTTGGTTCTCAATTTTTTCTTCAGATTTTGTTTTTAAAATTTCATAATCAACAGTTTTTACCAATTCATCAACCTTTTCTGGAGGAATTATGGCTTCACTTAAATCTTCAAGAATTTCTGTCGCACCCAGATCTCTTTTGTCTGCATCATAACTGTCTGGTATTTCATCTTGATTAAGAGATCCGTCTGAATACAGCTTTTCTTCCTTGTATGGGTAAACTTCTTGATAGTTTTTCAGGCGATCAGAGGTTGGTGGAATTTCATCATGGTCTTTTTCTTTTTTGTTCTCAACTGATTCATAAGAAGGAACTGCACTTGCTTCTGGATCTTTCTCCTTTGTGATAATATCCTCTTTTTTAGAGGAAAATTCTCCCTCCTGAAATCACATTTTTTATTAAAATCAAATGAAATGTTAAATATTGTTACATTTAATGGTTTAAGTTTTTAGATCGATTTGTAGGTTCAAACTTACTTGCAGTTTGGCCTCCTCAATGGATCTAACGTCATTAGCTCGACTACCCTCTATAAAATAAAGTTTAGTTGAATTTTAGGGTTAATGGAATCCTTTTTTTTACTAAGTTTCTTGTTTTACATTAAACATCAACTTACCGGGCCTATAAATGGTGTTTGAATCAGTACCATCCAGTGGAAAAATGTCGTCTTGCTCCAGTGTCAGTATTGCAGAATTTTCATGAAAATTTTTCGTATTTTTCTGCTCGATCCACTCTTCTTCTTCTATGATTGTTGTTTGTTTATTGATTGCCTGTTGTGGTTCAGACTGCTGTTTGTCATTATCCACAGCATCATCACTTGCTATGATTTTCTGATCTTGTTCTCCGTCGTCACTTGGTAGTGGAGCATCAGTTTTATCATTTTCATCAATAGTTGTATCTTCAAAACCTTGGTTTCTAGAGTCTGTATTAATATCAACTGCTTTGCGTGGATCATAAGAGATATTCTGTCTCAATATGTCTTGAACATTAAGGCTAAAATCATTATACGATCCCTGGCCATCTTGGCCCAGGTCTTTTTTTAGAGCCTCACTAATTTCACTTCCAATATTTTCAAGATCGTCTAACCCCTGGCGACTTATGGGTTTTAGAGCTTGAACTATTTCACTACTGAAGTTACTTAAATGATTAATGATTGCACTGAGGCCGACTGCTCTACTATCAGGCAGGTTTTCTCTGTGCCTTCTTTTTAAATCTTGTTCCAAATTAAGACCGGAATCATTCACAATTTTTTCAGCAGGTATGCTTACAACTGGTTTATCGGGTTCCTCTGGAATGACAGTCTTATACATATCTCTAGTAAGGTTAGCAGAACTGCCAGCAGATCTATTCTCTGTATACCAACTATCATCACAAAAAGATTCACACGCATTGAACTCTGAAAAAAATTTAACATAAATACAAATAGTTTTAAAATGCAATACGGGTGGGGGGCATTTTATAACAGCGAGACACCTTGGACTAACCAGTGCGAGATTCATTAGGTTTCTTCAATTAAAATTCTATTGCGAAACATTTATGTTTTGGAAGTCAAATTGTGAAAGAAAGTCACGGCTTGCTGAAAAAGAACCAAGCTGTTAAAGGGACTGTAAAGGAAAAATGAAAGGGGGTATAGGCTGAAAGCTAATCACTTTAGCTCTCGATCGCGACCCATGAAAGTTATATCAGATGTTCCTATCACGAGAAACTGATTTACAACTTTGTCAAATTTATACGAAAATTAATATATATACAATTTTGCATAAAAGTAGTGGGTTTAAAAAGATCAAATTCAGTAAATATGCAACCAATCTGAAAACGATGATATCCCAGAGAAAGCTAAGTAACTTAGGTTTACTCCAATTCTAATTTTATATTTGTTATTTCTATTTTTTATAGATTTAATTCATAATATTATTTATACGTCGTATTGCTTGACCAGAAATTCCACCAATGGCGGTGCAATAAAGTGGTCACGTGATACAGGCGTAGACACGTGACCAGTCTACTGCTCTGCCATTGGTGATAGTTCTGGTCACGTGATTTAAGTTTGAGATTTTCTAAATTTTACATATATGAACTTTCGTATAATTTTAACACAGTTTTATATCAATTTCTCGAGACATGAACATCAGATAAAACTTTCATGGGTCGCGATCGAGAGCTAAAGTAATTTGCTTTTAGCCTATTCCCCCTTTCATTTTTCTTTTACAGTCCCTTTAAATCTGCGCGTAGAAGTAGTACTTGTACTTGTAACTCCCCCCCCCCCTCCTGTTAATTATATTTTTCAATCTCATATTGACACTAATATTGTTAATCAGTCTTAATAATAATTACACTTCCAAGATTTCAAAACTGTATTATACGTTAAAGTTGATTTTATTAAAATTTGCAATATCTTTAACCTAAAATATAACAAAAGGAAAAACGATCCGAAAACGATCGTTACAACAAGTTCGTTTAATGCATCGTTTTTCCATTTTATGCATAAATCTTCTGTCATGGTCAAAATTTGACATAGTGTAAGTAAGCAAATATATAGAGTAAAAAAACAAAAACATTTGTTTTCTCACACTATGCCTATAAAAAACGGCCCAGATAGAACCAACTGAAGAAGAATTACTATTTGTAACTAATTAAAAAAGGTGACCTGAACATCCTTGAGGAACTCCAATAGGTGGGGGATCTAGGAGAACATCTAGCCGGTATCTCCGCAGTGGAATTCTAGTCCCAGAGAACCCAGATTTAGTGCTTAGTCTTCTGGAGGGTAACTTCGTGGTGATGAGTGGGAACCTGGTAGTCACCAGATCTGGTGATCTAGTGGTCATCAGACCAGGACCAGGTACAGGGCTGGTTACACGTCTGTTAATGATATCAGTGTTGTTGAATTTGTTGTCAATAGAGGGAGTATCACGACCATGCTGCACATACCATGCTATATACACGGACGCCATTGCTGAAAATAATTATATATTTTGTAAAAAATAGCCAAATTAAAAAAAAAACACAGATTAAACGCAATTATCAATATTTTTAATTGTTGAAAGTAATATATAAATCAACATCCTCTGAAATGTTTTTAAGTAAAGTGTAAAATACCTGATATTTTGAATATTTCTCGACAAAAATAATGAATTTAATGAAGCCAAAGTATTTAGGTGAGTGAGCCCAGGTGTTTTGGGAGAATTACTAAATCATATTTAGACCTTTTTAGACCTTTTTAGACCTTTTTAGACCTTTTTAGATCGCTAGCTGGCTTCAACACATCCAAAGTTTCTTTTTGATATGGGTGAACAAAACTATTTGTAAAAGATCTTAAAGATCGCGGGATCAAAAAAATAATACCTTTAATTCCATGATCGACATTGAGTCTTGAAATTTTGCAATGTAAAAAGAGAGAGTGGGTAATTATTTGTGTTTATTTTATACCGCTCAAGTTATTAGGACATCTCATAAATATTTTAAATTTCCGGACAAAGCTGGTTTCCCAAGCTATAGTAATATGAATTTACCAACTAAGGATATTGTCATAACTGCAACCAGCAGAATAAGAATTGTTTGTACTGTTCTGCTCTTGAATAAAGACCTAAAAAAAGTTTGAAAAAAAAT